TTTCTTTCCCTCACTGCATGCTCCTCACTCATTCCCTCGTCCCTCTCTCCCACCCTCTCTGTTCTCCCTCCCTCTTTCCCTCCGTCTCCCTTCCTTCCATCTCTCCCTACATTCCTCCCTCTCACTCCCACCCTTCCTCCCTCTCACTCCCACCCTTCCTCTCTTTCTCCCTCCCTTCCTTCCGCTCTCTCTCTCCCCCTCTTCCTTCCCCTCTCCCTTCCTTCCTCTCTTTCTCCCTTCATCCCTCTCTCCCTGTCTGTCCCTCCCTTCCTTCCTCTCTCTCCCTCCTTTCCTTCCTTCTTTCTCTTCCTTCCTCTCTTTCTCTAGCCCTCCCTCCCTTCCCCATCTCTCTCCCTTCCTCCCTCTCTCAATTCCTTCCTCCTCCTCTTTCTCCCTCCATTCCTCCCTCTTTGTCCCTCCTTCCCTCTCTCCCTTTTCTCTCTCCCTCCATTTTTCTCTGTCCCTCCCCGTTCCCTCCCTTCTCTTCCTCCCTACTTTCCTCTCTCTCCTTCCCTTCCTCCCCACCTTCCTTTTTCTCTCTCCTTCCTCCATTCCTTCTTCTTTCTCCCTCCATTCCTCCCTTTCTCTGTCCCTCCCTCCCCTTCTCTTTCCATCTTCCTCTCTCCCTCCCTTCCTTCTCTCTCTCAACGCCTTCCTCCCTTTCTCCCTCCATTCCTTCCTCTTTATCTGTTCCTCCCTCCTTCCCTCTCTCCCTGTCTTCCTTTCTCTCCCTGTCTTCCTTTCTCTCCCATCCTTCCTTCCCCTCTCCCTCCTTTTATTCATCTCTCTCTCCCTCCCTTCCTTTCCCTCCCTTTATTCGTCTATCTCCCTGTCTTCGTTCCTCTCTCCCTCTCTCACTCCATCCCTTCCTTCTTCTCTCTACCTCCCTTTCTTTCTCATTCCCTCCCTCCCTACCTTCTTCTCCCTCTTCCTTCCTCTCCCATGTCTTTTGCTCTCTCCCTCCCTTCCTGCCTCTCTCCCTCCCCACCTTTTCTCTCCCTCCTTTCCTTCCTCTCTCCCTCCCTTTGTTTCTCACTTCCTTACTCTCTCCTTCTCTTCCCCCTCCCTCTCTCTTCATCATTTCCTCCCTCCCATCCTTCCTCTCTCTCCCTCTTCCTTCCTCATTCACTCCCTCCCTCCTCCCTCTCTTCCTTCCCTTCCTCCCTCCCTTTCCTTCCTCTCTCTCTCACTCCTTCCCCCTCTCTCCTTCCCTTCTACCTGTCCCTCCCTTCCTCCCTCCATTCCTTCCTCTCTCCCTCTCTGCCTCCCTCCCCATCTCTTTCTCACTACCTTCCTCTGTCACCCTCCCTCTCTTCCTCTCCCCTTCCTTCCTTTTTTCCTCCCTCTTTCTCTCTCCCTGCCTTCCATTCTCCCTCACTTCCTCTCCCTCCCTTCCTTCTGCTCCCCTCAGTCCCTCCCTCCTTTCTCCCTCCTTTCCTTCCTCTCTCCATTCCTTCTGCTCTCCCTCCCTTTCTACCTCTATCTCCCTCCCTTCCTCTCCCCTTCATTCCTCCATTCCTCCCTCTCTTTGTCCCTCCTTCCCTTCCTTCTCTCCCTCTCTTCCCTCCCTTCCTTCCGTTCTCCCTCGCTCTCTCCCTCGCTCTCTCCCTTTTTCTCTCTCCCTTCCTCCCTCCTTCCCTTCCGCTCTCTAGCTCTCCCTCCCTTCCTCTTTCTCCCTCCTTCATTCCCCCTCCCTTCTCCTCTCTTCCTACCTTCCTTTTTCTCTCTCCTTCCTCCAATCCTTCGTGTCTCGCACTCTAGCCCTCCCTTCCTTCCTCTCCCCCTCCCTCCTTTCTTTCCTCTCTCTCTTCTTCTCTCCCTCCTTTCCTCTCTTGCTCCCTCCATTGCTTCCTCTCTTGCTTTCTCCCTTGCTTCCTCTTTCTCACTGTTTCTCCCTTCCTTCCTCTCTCCCTTTCTCCCTTCCTTCCTCTCTCCCTTCCTTCTTTCCTCGCTCGCTTTCTCCCTTCCTTCTGCTCTCTCCCCCTCACTGTCCCTCCCTTTCTCCCTTCTTTCCTCTCTCCCTTTCTCCCTTCCTTCCACTCTCCCCTTCTTTCCCTCCCTTTATGTCTCTCTTTCCCTCCCTTCCTTCATCTCTCCCTCCCTTCCTCTCTCCCTCCTTCCCTTCCTTAGTCTCTCTCTCCCTTTCCCTCCCTCCCTCTCTCAATTCCTTCCCCCTCCTCTCTCTCTCTCTCCCTTCCTCTCTCTCCCTCCCTTCCTTCTGCTCACACTTGCTCTCTCCCTCCCTCCCTCATCTCTTTCCCCATCTCTCCTTCCCTCTGTCTCCCTTCATCCCTTCCCTGTTCCCTCCCTTCTCTCTCTTCCTCCCTACTTTCTTCTCTCTCCTTCCTCCATTCCTTCTTTCTCCCTCCATTCCTCCCTTTCTCTGTCCCTCCCTCCCCTTCTCTTTCCCTCCATCTTCCTCTCTCTCCCTCTTCCTTCTGCTCTCTCCCTCCCTACCTTCTTCTCTCTCTTCCTTCCTCTCTCAATCCCTTCCTCCCTCTTTCTCCCTCCCTTCCTCCCTCAATCCCTTCCTCCCTCTTTCTCCCTCCCTTCCTCCCTCCTTCCCTCTCTCCTTCCCTCTCTCCTTCCCTCTCTCCCTGTCTTCCTCTCCCTCTCCCTCCCTCCTTTCTTGTCTCTCTCCCTGCCTCCCTTCCTCTCCCTCCCTTTATTCGTCTCTCTTTCCCTCCCTTCCTTCCTTCCTTTCCCTCCCTTTATTCATCTCTCTCCCTCCCTTCCTTATTCTTGCTCCCTCCCTCCCTTCCTCACACTCTCCCTCTCCCTCCCTTCCTTTCTGTCTCTCGCTTGCTCCATCCCTTCCTTCCTCTTTCTCCCTTCCTCTCTCTACCTCCCTTTCTTTCTCATTCCCTCCCTCCCTTCTTCTTTGTCTCTCCCTCTCTGCCTTTCATGTCTTTTGCTCTCCCCCTCCCTTCCTTCCTTTCTCTTTCCCTTCCTGCCTCTCTCCCTCCCTATCTCCTTCCTCCCCACCCTTTCTCACCCTCCTCTCCCTCCTTTCTTTCCTCTCTCCCTCCCTCCCTTTCTCACTTCTTACTCTCTCTCCTTCTCTTCCCTCTCCCTCTCATTCCTTCCCTCCCTCTATCCCTCTTTCTATCCCACCCTCCCTCCCTCTTCCTTCTACCTCTCCCTCCTTCCCTTCCTTCTCTCTGCCTCCCTTCCTATCTCTCTCTACCTTCCTCTCTCTGTCACCCTCCCTCTCTTCCTCCCTTTCTCTCTCTCCCCGCCTTCCATTCTCCCTCACTTCCTCTCTCCATTCCTTCTGCTCTCCCTTGCTCTCTCCCTCCCTTTCTACCTCTATCTCCCTGCCTCCTTTCCCCTTCCTTCCTCCATTCCTCCCTTTCTCTGTCCCTTCTTCCCTCCCTTTTCTCTCTTCCTCCCTTCCTTCTGCTCTCCCTTGCTCTCTCTCTCCCTTTTTCTCTCTCCCTTCCTCCCTCCTTCCCTTCTGTTCTCTAGTTCTCTCTCCCTCCCTTCCTCTCTCCCCTCTTCATTCCCCCTTCTCCTTCTCCCTTCCTTCCTTCCCCCTCTACTTTCCTTCCTCTCTCCCTTCTTTCCTTCCTCCCTCCTTTCCTCTCTCTTGCTCCTTCTGTTCCTTCCTCTCTCGCTTTCTCCCTTCCTTCCTCTTTCTCACTGTTTCTCCCTTCCTTCCTCTCTCCATCCCTTCATCCCTCTCTTTCCCTCCCCTTTCCTTCTTCTTTCCCTTTCTCCCTTCCTTCCTCTCACTTTTTCCTCCCTTCCTTCCTCTCCCTCCCTTCCTTCTTCTCGCTCCCTCCCTTCATCTCTCTCCCTCCCTTCCTTAGTCTCTCTCTCTCTCCCTTTCCCTCCCTCTCCCTCCCTCCCTCTCTCTCATTTCTTTTTTTCTCTCCCTCCTTCCTCTCTCCCTCCCTCCCTTCTTCTCCCTCCCTACTTTCCTTCTACTTTTTCTTCCTTGCTCTCTCCCTCCCTCCCTTCCTCTCTCTTCCTTCCTTCCTTCCTTTCTCTCTCTCCCCCTCCCTCACTTCCTTCCTTCCTCTCTTCTCTCCCTCCCTTCCTTCTTTCCTTCCTTCCTTCCTTCCTGTCTGTCTCTCTCTCTCTCCTTCCCTCCCTTCCTTGGTTTCTCTGTCTCTCTCATATACATACACATGTTTAATGTTTATATTGATACTTACCCATAAATTTACATGGGTGTATACACACACACACACATACACGTTAGAAATCATGAGATCATAGTAATATTTCTAATTTCAGTTCATCCTTTGAGTCTTTCTTACCTTCTCCATTCCATATTTGTATGTCCCTTCTTCTACTGTGAGAACTTTGGCTCCTCAAATCAATACATCAACACATCCATCCATGTGCTCAATCCTATAATATACCTAAGAGTTTCACTGTTTTGCCCACAGTATCACCATCAACAGATTTACTAAAAGGAGTTCAGGATTCCTTTGTCAGTCTTCCCCCAACAGCATTCCCTACCCTGCCCATGACTGAAGGCATAGTGTAAAATACTGTTTTCATAGGTTACGTATATTTAGTTATTTCCTTCTTTATTTTTTCTTTTAGCGTAGTTACAGTATTCATTTGAAGTTCAGTTACATTCAGACAAATTGGTTTTGGTTTTGGACCAATCCTGTGGCGTGTACACTCATGCAGACCCACTGATAGCAGCCGCCCCGGCATGCTGTGCAGCAAGTGGCACAAGACATCCGCTCCCAGCCGCAGGCCTCCCAACAGCGCGAGGGCCCAAGCCTCTGTTTCTCCGCTGCCCTCTCGCTCACATGTGCGAACAAGCCTGTGTTACGTGGCGGACAGCTACTAATGGCTTTTATGTAAAAGGTTGATGTCAAAGAATTATTTTGATCCCTTTATTTTGTATCTGAAGTAATTAATACTAGCACACTGTGTGGTGGATATTTCATGGAAAGATTTTCTCAAGTCTTACACGGTCTCTGTGCTCTGTGGACATGTTTGTGAACGTGGTTATGCTTGCTTGATGAGTAACATACCTGTTCTCCTCTGTAGATGACGTACTCAGCATATGCCAGCCCATTGACGCTCGGTCGACCAATGACTGAGTGGTGCCCTGGAGGCGCGTGGGCCATTTTCATGGTGCTAAACTGCAGAAAGGATTTCCCAAGGGTCACTCTACAGAAGAGCATTTGTCTAAGGAAGAAGAAAAAAACAATGCTTTGAAGGAAGCTTTAAATCTTACAATAATAGAACTGCTAGGTCTATTAATTTTTTAAAAATTTAACATAAGGCAAGCTAATTTAAATGTCCTTTTCAGATGTATGAGTAGGAATGGAATTTGATATAATGATTTACTATAAACAGGTACCAGACTCAACAGTTACACTGAAAAGTTTAAGGCGGTTTTGCTATGGCTTAGGAATCGGCCTTAGAAAATGCCGCCAGGAAGTTTGGCCTGGTGGGAAAGGGAAGCAAAACAGAGAAAACCTGAGCTCTCGCATGGACAGGGAGGTGGACAGTGAAGAAAATGAGCTGATGGAAACAACAGCTGAAATTCAGACTGGGTTTATTCATTACGTGGAAAAAAGTAGAAACTGGGATGAGATAAATAGTAATAAAAAAAGTGGATCATGAACAAAAGTACTTAGCTTAAATGTACGGCTGAAAATCACATTAGTCTGGGCGGAACACGAATTAGAGCAGATATTAAGTATCACAGGGAAAGAAAGGCTGACTGGGAAGAAAGTCTATTATATACACTAGGGGTTAGCAAACTATAGCCCATGGGTCAAGCCAGCCTGCCACCTGTTTCTGTAAATACCGTGTTACTGGAACACAGCCATACATGCATTTACATATAGCCCATGGCTGCTTTTGCACTACAAGGGTAGAATTGAGTTACTGTGACAGGGATTGTATGACCTGCAAAATCTAAAATGATTATTATATATCCCTTAAAGAAAATGTCTGCTAATCTCTAATATAAGCAATAAATATTTTTACAAATTAGTACAATTGATAACACCGTTAAATGTAAACAGTTATAATGCAATCAAATTGTTTTTAGTAATGGAATATAATCTTTGTGTTATAACCAGAGATTTTATTTTGAGTCAACTAAAATTTGTGCTGGATCCAGGATAACTGGGTCTTACCCGGACTGGCTTTTTGAGTTGGATGCTAGTGATGATCCTCTGGGATGCCGGCCTGGTCTACTATATTCTCCTGCAGGTCCCAGAGGAAAGGGCTTTGCTCTCTATCAGAAGGCGGCTTTTTTGTGCTCCATCTCTACATTTGTGGCAGTGGTATGTTGTCATTAGATTCTGTGTGCTCCTAGTCTATTATGTCACACAAAGCTGAACCTGACAGGCTTCTGCTTCTGCCCCAGGGATCCCCTATTGCTGCTGAGGCAGGAGGAGATGTGAGACCTGCTCAGCCAGCCGTGAGCTGCAGATGGGCAAGTAGAGAGCTGGCTCAAGTCTGCTCACTGGCTTGCCTGGTGCATTGTGGTGCATTCTGCAGATGCAGCAGCCTAAATGGTAGGGGTGCCAATTAGCCCTGGGGGCAAATTTTGGCAAACGCAAGACAGGAGCCAGCAGACAAATTCATCTCTTTCTCTCACTGATATACTACTGTTGTGAGATGCCGTAGTTCATACAGTCTCTCTGGAGATGCTTCATGGACTGAGCAATTGACTGCCCTCACTATGAGACTGTGGCCAACTCATTAAGGCACCTCACTGTGGTTGCTCTGCTGTCTTCTCCACTTCAATTCTTTTAGGGCCCTCATTCCTGCTTCCCTGGGGCTGCGCTGGCCAATCAAATACTAGTCACATGCTTTTGCTTTAGGGTCTGTTTTCTAGAAATCCTGGCTAAGACTTAAACTTGTGTGTCTAATTTTAATAAGTGATTGTTAAATCTTCACTGAGGTTCACTTTTATTGCTTATTTAGGTTCATTTTTGTCTCCAGAGGAATTAAGTTTGAAGCATAAAAAAAAAAAATTTTACATGCTATATATATACTTGAAAATTTCTCTGTATTCCTTTTTCTTTTGAGACGGAGTCTCACTCCGTCCCCCAGGCTGGAGTGCAGTGGTGCAATCTCAGCTCACGGCAACCTCTGCCTCCTGGGTTCACGCCGTTCTCCTGCCTCAGCCTCCCCAGTGGCTGGGATTACAGGCACCTGCCACCACGCTCGGCTAATTTTTTTTTTTTTTGTATTTTTAGTAGAGCTGGGGTTTCACCGTGTTAGCCAGGGTGGTCTTGATCTCCTGACCTTGTGATTCACCTGCCTCGGCCTCCCAAAGTGCTGGGATTACAGGCATGAGCCACCATACCCAGCTGAAAATTTCTCTGTATTCTTAATCACAGAGGTCTTAATGGGAGGAAGTTTCCTTCTAGACATATGACATCCAACTCAGAATGGCTGATGGCAATAATTTTTTCAAAACACAACTGAGAGATAAGTTTTAAGGTCAATAATCACAATTTCAAAGTTATTGGGGCTCTTTTTTTTCCCTCAGAGATCCTTGTTCTAAAATTATTTGGGTCTTTTTAAGGTCTTAACCAAATTACAAAATATTAACCTGGCTTGATAAAAATAATGCATTTGGTAAGTTTACAGAGAAATGTAATAAATCCCAATCTTTGCACAGTATAATTATTTTGTGTTTTTTCATTGCCAAGAAAAGGGACAGTATTTTTTTCATCACTGACATCAGAGAGAGCACACCATTATTCTCTCCAATTTTTGAGTTTTAAAAGCCTATTAACATGGCCAATGTTCATTTGTTTGCTATTGATTCCAAAGTTGATATTTTAAGTTGCCAACACTAATTATGTATCCTGCCTTAAAACAACATCATCGTCAGCAACATCAGAAGTAAATTAAAGAATCTACCTTTTCATAGAAGCACGTCTTTGTTCAAATGTGACTAGAGCTAGTGGTTCTTTGTTTACAGAACTCATCCTTAGCCTTAACCTACTATGATTACAAAGCAAGAAAAGTGAACCCTAGGGAGAAAGCCAAGACGCAGGGTGTTTTATTATAACCCATGACTGGAGGACATATACCTGGTTTTTACCCCGGCTTATCTGCTCTGTTGTTACTGCTGTTAGGGAAGAGGCTGATCAGCTGTTCCCACCCATTCCCAGAACCAACGGGATTTCCTGGGATGCAAGACTGAGGATAACCTGTGACTTCTGCAGAGCCTGATAAAACAATCTGGGGCTGGGCATGGTGCCTCATGCCTGTAATCCCAGCACTTTGGGAGGTCGAGGCAGGCAGATCACAAGGTCAGGAGTTTGAGACCAGTCTGGCCTACATGGCAAAACCCCATCTCTACTAAAATTACAAAAATTAGCCAGGCGTGGTGGCAGGCGCCTGTAATCCCAGCTCTGGGTAGGCTGAGGCAGGAGAATTGCTTGAACCCGAGAGGCGGAAGTTGTAGTGAGCTGAGATTGTGCCATCGCACTCTAGCCTGGGCCACAAGAGCAAGACTCCATCCCATAACAAACAAAAAACCCAATTTGGTTCATGACCTGGGGGTGGCAAACGTTACACTAATAGCAAGATGCTTACCTGTGACATATATAGCACGACCTGTCTTTGTGTGTAGGGCAGCCTGTTCCTCCTCCAATTCCATAAACATATTGGTTGCTTTTTGAGGAGTTTTCAGCAAAATAAATCCCAGCTCCAAACATTCCTCCTATGTATGCATGTCGCTCATCAAACCCTTTATGAATAATGGCATTAATGAAAGGAGAACCTAGAAATACGAAGATAGAAAGACTCATTTTTAAACACTTTTCTAGAAGCTCAATTACCTGCAAACTGTTTGCATTGGGCAGGTTAATATTAAGAAATGAATAGTGTATAAATGAAAAGTAGTTCCTAAGGAGCCCTATTATACATAATAATGTACTAGTACTAAATTACAACAAAAATAATTCACTAGGTGGCTCAATTTGCAATTTAAGTTCTAAAATAATTTTAGCTCAATTATTTTCATTGTAAATGCACTGAAAAGTCTGTACTAATGTGTGATACGTTAGAAAGCTGGTACCAAGAAGTAATTATTTGAACAAAATAATCAAAACAAGCCATTTTAATACAACCCTATTATAGTCAATTTAACATAGGTTTTTCATTTTACTGACTCCTGCAAAGGCCCAGGGAGACGTCCACCATCACGGCCATGCTGCTCACCATGAAACAACATGCGCTCATTGTGATGGTTGTGATTCTCCTCAGACACTTCCTTCTGTCGGTGGCAGAACCGCTCCCTCAACTTCTTGTTGACAACTTTTTGAATCTTTAAGGATGAAGAAGAAAGAAATATTATCAGTGAAATGTGCATTATGATTTAAAATGAAAAGTATGTTTCCCTTTTAGGAAGGTCCTTTTTTATTTTGCTTAAATGTAAAAGTGATAAAGCTACCGTGTCAGTGTAATTCAGAAAATACTCTAGCTAACATAATTACTAACATAATTTTCAGTTACAGTTTTTGTTATTTTATACCAGACCTGGCTGTTACCTCTAAATCAGGATTTAAAAAAAAAAAAAAAAAAGGTAAAAAGGTTATATTTAGGCTCCTCCCCAGACTTAATAAAGTTTAGGAGATGGGGACGTATAAATCTGTATTTTTTTTTAAAAAGTTCCCTGGGTTATTCTGATGTGTACCAGTATAACTTTCACAGGTCTGTTAACTCAAAGGGTTAAACCCGTTATCTACAGATTTTATTCATCTTCATGATACCACTTTGTAAAAAGCTTGAGTCTTCTGTTCCATATTAAAAATTAAGATACTGAGATTAAGAGATATATGTATTCTGGGGTAATTACTGGTTCAATAAGACTGAAGATCCAGGACTTCGATGCAACTTTCAAATGATAAAAAACATTATTGTTAGCTATGGCCTGTATTTGTGGATAAGCAGGGAGACAAATATCCATGTACGTATCACTAGTACAAGCTGATTTAGCCTCCTGTTTGTAGCTTTGGTGTTTTCAGAATGTCTCTATTTTTAGTGACGTATTGTCTTGGGGAGTTAGAGATATCGTAGTGAGAAGAGTGGTATCTGACTTCAGGGCAATAGGTGATGAATTATCTTTCACAATTTGAAAGTATGACTTAATGAACTTTTTTCATTGTCTAGATTTGATTTTTCAGCAAGCCTTGCAATCCAGTTTTCACCATGAAACTTCAAAAACTTACTCGAATGACATTGTATCTGTTGAAGATGCCGCCAGCATTACCACCATCTCTGTGTTCTCGAATTGTACTTTGCATCTATAGAACAAAATAACAATTTTATAAAAACATCCCAGTGTGTAATTCTAGACATTTCTTCCAATTTTATTGTTTCATTGATGAGTCTAAAATTCGGTATTAATAAAAGGAGTTCACTACAAATTAATGAATAAGTTTAGTGGATAAGTATTTCTGGTGAGAAAATAATTTCAAACATAAATATTAAATTTATGCACTTTCTGTTTACTTTTAAATAAAAGTTCTGAAAGTTTTCTGTAAACACAATGGGGAAACATAAAAAAATCCCATTAAGTCATCTACAATTACTATCTTATTGAGAAGAAGAACTAACACTCTGATTAAGTCAAACAAAAACTCCTTACATTCAATTAACAAATGCTAAAAATAAACAATTTTTTAAAAATAAATATTTGTTCTGTAGGTGAAATATTCCATATTATCTCAACAGTCTTCAGCTTGGGATCGATCTCTAAGTATATTTACACAGACCAGGGGAATTTGACTATAAGGTACTACTAAAGGGAGTAACTTTCTTCTGACTACTCTCTAAATTAAAAATAATTGTGGAAAAGAAAAATATTTTAAAGATCTAAATTTCTCAGAGAATTAACTCAATAGAATGAATTCTCTTCCTTACTGCTCCACTTGTGAAGAGTCACTACATTTTTGACATTATTATCAAAATGTACTAACTGCTAAGAGAAGAATTAGGTAGTAAGACACTGGACCCCGTGGTGCCTTCCTGATGCACTAAGTATGAGCTGAAATACAGCCCTGGGGCCATGGTCCTGAGTTACCTAATGCAAGTTCCTAGCCTGGGAGTGAAAATAAAATGAGTACTAATTAAAAAAAACAAACACGAATTTTACTTATAACAATGGTATTAGGCTGTTTGTTTATGCATAAACCGTCAGTGGAGTGGGAGTCTCACTGGCATCTGACCACCAAGAGGGTCACACAAACAGCCTTCATAGGGGCTCAGAAAAACTGTGACTGGAGAAATGAAATGTTATGCAGAATAATGAGGCAGACCCAGAAGCACACGTGACGATTAGGCATATTATTTTACCGTCACATTTATAACTGCATAAAAACAAGGATGAGAACATATTTGCTCTCTATGAAGCAAGAGTTTTTCATTCTATGTCATTCTTAGGTGGCACTATAACAATATAAGAAAACAGTTCTAATAGGCTCCTTATTTTGCATGAATTTCAAGAAAATCTCCAGAATAAAAAGACAGATGGGCCCCGTGCATTAGAAAACCCAGGCTTTGATGTGAAAACCATGTGGTGCTGTCATATTTTAATTTTGGCAATATTCTACCACAGTGGCTGAGAGAGACTGATTAATAGGCACGTGACCACAAGGCAATGTAAGACGAGGTTTCTTCCAGAAAAACAGGTTTATCCACAGATTTCAAGAAAAGCAAATGAAAGATTTCTGATGTATATTACCTCTTCTTCCACTGACTGATATTCTTTATCTTCTGGAGCAAGATCCAGCAAAATCGTCCCCTGATTAACACAGTGAAAAGTCAAATAAGGATTGGTGCCTGTAGGAGAGAAAAATTAACATATAAAACAAAAGTCTGCACTACTTAGGCTCTATTTTAGAAAAAAGGATTCATAATAAATAATTGACATTTTGTAACAAACCTAACTATTTGCAATTTGAACCTGATAAATTTGGTTACTTTAAACAAATATACTCAAGGACAGGAGAAAAAACAATAAAATGTTTGAGGATCAATTTTATCTGTTCTTTTTTTTTTTTCTTTGAGATGGAGTCTCGCTCTGTCGCCCAGGCTGGAGTGCAGTGGCCCGATCTCTGCTCACTGCAAGCTCCGCCTCCCAGGTTCACGCCATTCTCCTGCCTTAGCCTCCCTAATAGCTGGGACTACAGGAACCCACCACCACACCTGGCTAATTTTTTTGTATTTTGTTTAGTAGAGACGGGGTTTCACCATGTTAGCCAGGATGGTCTCAATCTCCTGACCTCATGATCTGCCCGCCTCGGTCTCCCAAACTGCTGGGATTACAAGCGTGAGCCACCGTGCCTGGCCCAATTTTATCTATTGTTATAGAGCTTCTTGTACACACTGCAGAGTTCAACAAATATTTGTTGAATTAAACTCTATCATGAACATACATGAAGCTATATCTGACACAAAAGAAAAACATGCACTGACATCACAATATAGTCAGACCTAAAATATAAAATTATCCTCTAAAAACTCTTCTAAGATGGCTTGAAATAGCCACTTACAATTGCTTTAAAATACATTATCTTTGTTAGTTTCATGGATGAACTAAAATACAGATAAATAAGCAAGACTCAAGCACAAAATCTTCCAGTGTGAATTTCACATCACTCTTGTAATCTGATTAGGTCTATAGATTCTCTTTCCTTGCTTTCCTATAGTGAAAGTGCTTCTAACAAATAGAGAAATGAATAAAAACAGAAGGTAAAAAGGCTTGTAACAGCAAAGTAGAATGGAAAAAGACAAAGATGACAGTCATGTGGGGGGAGGATGGTTCAAGTTAAGAAAGGTTAGATTGTGAAAAGCCATGTTAGGAATGTTCAATTCTATCCTAAAGGCAACAGGATTCTATTAAAGGGATTTAAGCAAGGGAGTGATATGATCATATAATCATTTTGAAAAGACTGTGTTCACATTGTAGAGAAGGTACTGGAAGGAAGCAAATGTAAAGGCTGGAGATAAACCAAGTGGTTGGGATAGTCCAGGAGACAGAATGGTGGCTTGGATCAAGTGACAGTCATGGGAAAGGACAGAAGTACAGAGATTCCAGAGAAACTGAGGATACAAAGTGCTGGGAGAGAGGGAAGACTGACTCAGATTTTTCCAGCTACAGGGAGCACAAGGCCAATAACTGAGATGGGGAAGGGACAGGAGGTACAATAGTTCAGTGTATGGTTCTGGGGTCAGACAGGCTGAGTTCAACTGTCAGCCCCAACACTTACCTTGTACCACTGATTTCTGAAATTTGTTTTCTTTCTGAATAGCTTACCTTGTTGTCCACCTAAAAGTCTTTCTACTCCTTTGATTAATTTGTGGCGGTGCCCATATGCATTGATGCCTATTTCTTTCAACTCTTCATGACCCATATCAGCCAACACATCTAGTGTAATCTGAAAAATGAAACAAAATTACTTGTGAAATCTTTAACAGTTCTTCAGAGGACAAAAGCTTTTCCAATTGTCTACAATGCTATGAGTACCATGCAAATTAATAAAATTATTTTGTTTCCTTTACAAACATGAGCTTACAATCTTTTTAAAGTTGTCTTGATAGTCTCATCAGCTTTTTTGCTTACTTGAAGTACTCCTTGATTTGCTTTTTGTCCATGAGAATTAAAAAGGGAGAAATAATACTATAGAAATTCAAGAAGATCATCGCTATATTTCCTTTAGATGATTTTGTTCTATCATCTACTGCTTGCCTCCAGATAGAGGAGGAATCAATAGCTTGAAAATGGGAAACACCAGATCCCAATATCCAGCAGGGAGTAGAAATGAACGGTGGGGGAAAGGGAGAGGCATTCAGCGCAAGTAAACAGAGCTCAGGAAAAGGAGAGAGCAGTTTTCAGACGATAGATAAGGAAGAACTTCTCAGTGCTAAGAAATACTCAAGCCTGGGACAGACTGCCTTAAAAAGCAGTGAGATTGACATCTCAAGTATTTAGTTAGATTACAAACTGTTTTAAAGAGAGGCTACATTTTAAAATTCCAATTTGGATAAGGAAAGAGTAGATGGTTTTTAAGCTCTCTCATAAATTCTCAGACTTAATCCCTTCTGCTTAAAATACATTCTGTTTTTATACAACATAGTGGTTTTTAATTTTTGGTTAGTTTTTAACTTTTGGTTATTTATCCCTGTAAAATGGAGATGATTAGTTGGCTCAAAATCACCTAATTCCCTTATGGACTAAAGTAGCTGGGACTCTACTACCACCCAGTGGCTATGTTCTGAACACACAGGATGAACTTGGGTAGCCACATTTCTTGAAGTCTGAACATGCAACTTTCCAGCCTTGATGAAGCTGGCCTTATGACAATCCAAATACCAGTCTACAAGATTAGTCTTTGATTTTCCCCTTCCTTGGAAAACCAAGAAATTCTTTTACAGACACTCCTTTTCCAACTCAAACAAGATCGCTTTTTTCCACTTTTAACTTTCAAGTAACATTTAAAAAACTGACAAATTAGGCCTGGACCTCTGCTGATTTTTTTGTCAGAATAAAATATGAGTTTGATCTTTCCAGTGAAATGAGCATACATCACTCATTCTTTGGAAATAATTTTCTATATTGCTTCTAAGTGGCCATTTAAGCAATAATTGCTGCATTGCACAAAGCAGGCAATTTACTTCCAATCACCCAAAAGAAAGGTTTCAGCAGAGCTTTAAAACAAAACAAAACAAAACCAAAAAACCCAGTTTTGAAATACACATCTTTGAGATGGAATAGTTTACAGAATAATAGGAGCCTTTACATTCTTAGCTAGACATGATTTTAATAGAATTTGGAAACTATGTTATTGATGTCCCATTTTTTTCTTCTAAATATTCCAAACTAACTTCAGTTTAAAACCAAGGGTCTCATATCTATGTGGTAACTTCAATTCAGAGAATCCTCAGACTTTTCTGAATTGATACATATAGTGCGTATCTGGAGGACGCAGACACCAGGCCAGCAGAACACAATATTCTCTACAATGTTCTAGAGGAATAATGGAGACTATTTAATATATTTATTCATTTTATAGCTCCAATCATAAAATGAATACAAAAAACCCAAACCGAACCAACAAAACAACCTGAAGAGACTGATAGCAAGTCACTTAGTTTAGAAGGCAAGGCTGAGAGGAGCTCTCACACCGAATGTGGCAAGTGGTCTCCTACCTCCTGGCATTTGTGTCTTCCCTGTAATCCCTTCCCTGTGTGAGACAGACTTACCAACTCACTTCTAACACATATGATACAGCAGAAGTGATGGGAAATTACTTTCTACATTAGGTGATAGATTGTGGCTTCCATCTTGGGCGCTCACTCTTTGGACTGCTCACCCTAGAAGACCTGGCCGCCATGCTATGGCAGACACTCAATGATTCCCACCTTCTTACACCACATCCTGTGTGCTCCCCTCCCCTGGAGTGCAGGCTTGCCTAGTGACTTGCTTCTAACCAAGCAAATACAGCAATGGTGATGAGAGGTGACTAGCAGATCCTTTTTCTCTTGCTGGCTTTGATAGTGCAAGAAACCATGTTATAGAGGCCCACATGGCAGGAACTGAGGGCTTCAGTCCAACAGACTGCAAGGGACTGAATCCTGCCAGTAATCATGTGAGAATGTGGAAGGGGATCCTTCTCCAGTGGAGTCTTTAGATGAGATACTGGCCCTGGCTAATGCTCTGTAGCCTTGTGAGAGATCATGAAGCCAAGGACACAACTAAGCTGTGCATAGAGTCCTGACTCATAAAATGTGTGCTGTTTCGAGCTGCTGAGTTTGCGGTATTATCAAGCAGCAACAGGTAAGTAATACTCCATAAGGTCACTCTGTGGAGAGGCCGACAGGTGAGGAATCGAGGCCAGTCAACCAACACTGTGAGCGAGCTTGAAAGCGGGTCCCCGCCCTTGCCAGGTGAGTCCCCAGGTGAGACTGCAGACCTGTCGGACAGTTTACTGCAGCTTCGGGAAAGACTTTGAGCCAGAGGCACCCAACTAAGCCATGCTTAGATTCTTGACCTACAGAAACTGTGGGATAATACATGTTTCTTATTTTAAGCCATTAAGTTTTGGGTAATTTGTTACACAGCAGTAGATAGGTGATCTACCCATGCTATCTTGGCATTTATCCAATTAGATACAGTCACACAAAAGGAATGAATATGAAAATACGTAACTAAAGAAAAAAAAAAAGGCAATGTTTATTAGGCTATCCTGAAGGATAGAAGAGATGAAAAGCTATTAACCTGTGGAATCTGAAAAACAAAAAGGGAATGGGACAACTTTCTATACTTGCAACTGAATATAAATATACATTATTCCTGCAATTCCATCCAACCATTCATCATCCAACCACCATCCACTCACAGCTCAAAGCACTTTATTTACATTACCTCATTTAATCCTTACGATGATGGATAATGAAGTACTATTAATGTATTATGAGGTCACTGGTACTGAGAGAAGTCATGAAAACAGTACACAGAAGAGCTGAGATGTATAGCTGTATCTGTCTTTTCCCTGTTTCTATTCTTTAAAAGGATGACTAGAAGGCGAAAATGATTAAACATTAAATTTAGTTGTACTGAGTTACATGGTGTCCAATTTGTCTGCATATTTATCAGGAGTGGCCACTGAAAAACCTTAAATGAAAAGCTAAGGAATTTAGATCTATGTCAGCTCATTCACACAAAAAATGTTTAATGAGTACCTTCTTTATGCTATATATTTCTTTAAAAAGTAAACATTTCATTTAATTCTAAAACGACCAATTATAGTTGGAAAGTTACATTGTTGGTCCAAATAACTGATAGTAAAAGAGTGGGGCCATGAAATAGAGTGCCAACCAGAGTTCATGTTATTTACTCGAGATAATAAACACACATAAAATGGGTCAATGTCTTAGAGAATCCCTAAGAGAACTCTCGTGAAGGTGGCCTGTTTGGTCAGGGCTGCAAGGAGGGCTGAGAAGGAAGGAGCAGGAAGGAGATGAGGAAAGGTTCTCAGAAGAAGGTCATAATTCAGCTAAGCAGCAGGAGTTCATCAGGCAGGGGAAGGAAGAAAGTGTGCTTAAGACAGAGGGAATAGCATGTGCAAAGGGAAAATCAGTTAAAAGAATACAGAGTATTTGAGGGAACTTAAGTACTGTAGTTCAAAATGGTGACAGGAGAATATGTATCAAGGATTAAAAGGAGGGAACGGCAGAGCAGCAGGCACAGAGAGGATCTTAAAGGGCCTTATCTATCAAATTAAGGGGTTTAGAAATATACCAAAGGCTGGCCAGGTGTAGTGGCTCATGCCTGTAATCCCAGCACTTTGGGAGGCCGAGGTGGGCAGATTATGAGGTCAGGAGTTCGAGACCAGCCTGACCAACATGGTGAAACCCCATCTCTACTAAAAATACAAAAATTAGCCGGGCATGGTGGTACGCACCTGTAGTCCCAGCTACTCAGGAGGCTGAGGCAGGAGAATCGCGTGAACCTGGGAGGCAGGGGTTGCAGTGAGCTGAGATCGGGCCACTGCATTCCAGCCTGGGAGACAGAGCAAGACTCCGTCTCAAAAAAAAAAAAAAAAAGAAAAAAAAAAAAGTATACCAAAGGCCCTGGGAAGTCTTTTCAGCAGAGTAATACGATCAATGTTGTATTTTGGGAGGATGAGACTGTTGGCATTATGAAGGGCAGATTTGGAAGGGAAAGCAACTGGGAACAAGATGAAGATAAAATGGCATGGAAGGGATGAATCTGAAAGCAACTGGAGAACTCTATTTACAGGGCCTGGTAAATAGAAATGGTTAAAATAAAAGAATGAATAATTAAAGATTATTCCAAAATTCTGCATATGGGGAACTATGAGACTATTGTATCAAAAAAAGAAATAGAAATATCTGGATGGAAAGCAGGTTAGCTGGATTTTAGACATGTTGCTTCAAGATTCAGGGATTTTATATATACTCCTATCAGCTGTTAGACATTTTTTTCTGAAAATCATATTTAAATTAACTTGCTCCTTTTTTAAAACCTTGACTTGGTTATTATACCGAGGAAATCACAAGCTTGTTGGGCTAGTTATTTCTATCTAGTATACATTAAAATAAAATTATAATATTAAGAATAAAGACTATCCACGTGTCAGTTAAAGTCATCTTGCACATAAAGCAAAGGTCACTGCAAAAAGAGCTACCTCTAGCTTCTAAGAGTCATTTTACTTTGGGTGGGGAGAGAAAATTAGTTTTAATGAAAAAGACCTTTCTCTTGCTTGGGCTTAAAAGGTTGTATGGTACAGTAGTAGTAATAAGTACTAACTTTATAATCAAGTTCACAATGAATTACTGGAGGCCATGCTTTTATCTTCAAGAATTTGAAATCAAAATTTATCTGGTCATTTTCCATGAAAACACACAGGTTAACCATAAAGATGTCCACAAGCAGTCTTCCAAGTGATAGCATTTATGTTCCAGGAATTGCAGTGTAAATAAAATCTGTCTTTCCCATAGAAAAAGTGTTCTACCTATCTTCATAGGTAGAAAGCTATGTTATAAAGGAAGGGCCAAGGTCACATGGGTACTATAATTAACTAGAAAGGATACAGGTATATATTATTTAACATAGAACTTGGCAAAGTATCTATGGGAAACAAGACAATTTAGTTTAGAGACTTCCGAGAGAGTAACTGTGAAGATAGGAGGCGAGGCTATCATGTGCAGAAGGTTTTTTTCTGGGACCAGAAATAAAATACCTACATTCCACACCCCACTGGCATCCATGAGTAGGTACACAGGCAATGAGACATATGAGCATGTCAAAGCACGTCAGAAAACAATGGCTCCCCTGGCTTAAGCCAACCAGATATGAATTAAATGAGTACAATGCACGCACCCTCACTCCTCCCCCACTATACAAGTATGTGCACCATCATCACATATTACTGATATAGAATGTTAATGGGAGAAAATGCTAATGGTTAAAGTTATGGAAAAGGTTATCACATTTATTTATAATGGAAGGCTAGATAAATAACATTTGCAATTAAAATAAAAATACATTTGATTGCTTGATGATTGAGCCAGACACAGTTAGAAACGAAGAAAGGTAGTATCACTTGTCTGGAGGAAAAGAACTGCGCTTGGTAATACACATTAAATGCAATTATCTATGTATTGATCAAGAAAAGGCTATAGAAATTATTCTGGCTAAAAGAAAATCAATGGAACTATTTACTCAGAACGAAACTGCAGTAAAAAAAGAACAATGAAACTGATGAAACCAGAACAAGCTGTCAGAAGGAGTGACTAGGAGACTAAACTATTAAACTATTCAAATCAATAAAATGTGATAAATATGCCACAGGAAGTCAGTTACTGACAATGAGAATATACAATATAAAGTAAAAAAGAACTAACACATAAAATTATAATGCAAACTGACTAAAAGAAGAAAATTAACATTCTTTAGAAAACTTTCATCAGTACATTGGAATTATTTGTTTGAGTTAAGGTCTTTGGTTTGTTTAGCAAAGATGTGTTTGAAATTTTACAATTATTGTGGAAATGATTTGGGAAGAACAGCTATAGCTGTAATATGGAAATAGCAGAGTATAATGGTTTTAAAACAGCTTGCACACCTTCCGTTAGGGAATAAGGATAAAGCATTCTTACTGTTTAGGATATTCTCCTAAGAAAGCTCCAAACCAGGGGATGAATAAATGGTTGGGAAAGAAAACGATTTGATAGACAGCAGTCTATAAAGTCCTAACCATTAGACCAAAGGCACATGTGATGCATCACTGTATTAAAAGCTGACACAGCAGCACAATATTACCGAGAATTTTAACTCTCTGAACATTTGTAGGCATTAGGTTTTACCAGTAAAGGAAGTGATAGGATAAATGTCTTTTAGCCCAATTTTACACAGCTAGTAAGAGGGTAAAGGTAATTAGAATTAAGGTCTTCTTTTAGTCCAATGCTATCCCTACTCAACTGTTGTTATTAAGAGCATTAAAGATGAACTATAATGAAAAAATGTAGCTAAAAAAAAGAAAAAGCAGAAGAAAATCTTAACAGTAAAACTGATATAAAATAGAAAAAAGACCTGGTTTTTAAGTTAACTCCAAATTGACTATAAGCCTAGAAGGGAACCATAGTGGGCCAAAGGTGCGAGTGAAATATTGGAAAATTATGTCATATAAAGAATACTTGAAAAAACAGATGTATTCTAAAATAGGGGAAGATGTGTAGAGGTGCGTGGTTGAAAGGTTGACACCTCTGATAAGTTGACTAGGTCTTAAAAAGATATAAAGGGACACATTGTGTTGTAGTGGGCTGAATGGTGGCCCTCAAAATGATATGTCTATGTTCTAATCCCCAGAACCTATGAATGTCACCTTCTTTGGAAGAAGAGTATCTGCAGACAAAATTATGTTAAGGGTCTAGACATGAGGAGATTATACTGGTGGCCTCAAATTCAATGCAAATGTCCTTAGAAGAGATACAGAGGACAGGAAGGCAATGTGAAGATGGAAGCAGAGACTGGAGTAGCGTGGCCACAAGCCAAAGAAGCTGCCAACCATCAGAAGCAAGAAGAGGCATGGAATAGATTCTCCCCTACAGCCTCTGTAGGGAGTATAGTCCTGTAAAACTGAATACATATGTAGACTGGAGATTAGATCTCTGTGCAAAACAGGGTGAGCATAAGCCCAAAACAAATGAATTATACCTACCAGCAGTTTTTGGCACACTTTAAGTTACAAGCATTCTATTACACCTGTCCCAAATTGTAACAAGGTATCTTCCCTGGCTAGAGGACTAACATGGGTGTTATTATACAAGGGTGATCCCTACACCTGGGAGAATAACTAAATTTTCTCTAAACACCTTTTCCATTCTAAAATTTCATGTATATCAATAGTCCATTTAAATTCAGGACTTACCAGCATTCAATATTTAAAGTTGACCATAATAATGAAAGCATACAATATTACAACTCCTTATACTGTATGAAAACAGTAAAACAAACAGAATAATCCTAAATTCATAAATGCCCTAATGATGACTCCATCCTTAAACCCTCACAGACATTTAAGATGGATCCCAAAATAGGGTGGGTCTATTGGAATGTATGGCCAACTTTTGGTTCAAGATTATTTAAGATTCCAAGTGGACAAGAGAAACTTCATAAAGGGGCGATTCTTAAAAGGTGCACTTGTCTAAGTACTACTGTGCTTTCCAAATTAATGGGCAACTGCTTCAGGAGCCTAGTCACGTGAATAATGAAATGAGATGAATAAAGACTGACACTTTTCGGAAACAAAACAACCAAGGACAATTACGAAAACATTCTTTTGAGGTAGTTGCATGGTCTAAGCTTTGACATGTAATAAAATGCAAAGTGCTAGGCTGCTTATAAAGATAAAACAAAATAAAGACTCTCAATTGTTAGACAATTTTGGGGAGAAGTATAAAATACTGGGCTCCTCTGGCTTCTTATAGAAATGTTTTGTGGGTTTAAAAATAGCTCATAAGAAGCAAAAGAGAAAAGAGGTGGGTGGCAATTAATAATTCTTTTTTTTTTTTTTTTGAGATAGGGTTTTACTTTGTCATCAAAGCTGAAATGCAGTGGCACAATCACAGCTCACTGCAGTTTCAAACTCCTGGGCTCATGTGATCTTCCTGCTTCAGCCTCCCAGCAGCCCAGTAAGTCACCATGCTCAGCTAACTTAAAAACATGTTTTCGGTTTTTTTTTGCAGAGATGGGGGTCTCGCTTTGTTGCCCAGGCTGGTCTCAAACTCCTGGGCTCAAGCAATCCTGCCTAAGCATTCCAAAGTGTTGGGATTAAGTTGTGAGCCACTGCATCCAGCCTAATTCTTAGTATTTAGTTTAAATGACTCAAATATATAAAAGAGTGTTTACCTGTTCTGTTTCAAAGATATCCCGAAGGTGTTCAAGGCCAAGGCTTTTTAGAAATTGGCTGATGTTCATGTCAAGACCGGTAACTAAAACAGAAACATATTCAAGATTCTCAGAAAGAATTCTCTAAATATAAAGAAAATTTCAGTATCCATTTAAAGACATGACTCTGACAACCTTGGCTGTCAGATGATTTTACATGGCATAAAATAATACAGAATACACAGATTTAATTCAGACACTTTATTTCTCAAGTTGATTGAGAAATAAAAGCAGAGCGTTTTATCTTTATCAAATTAGTATTTGTATCAATTCTAATATGGTTAGAATATAGAATTATAACTTATTGTAATTTATAAAAATATAGAGAATACTAATTTTAAAATATTATAGTATAATATTTATACTATAGAATGCTACTTATATAGAGAAATCTAAAGCTTTTAATGAATTAAAAAATCTAAATGTATCAGCTATCATTTTAGTTTTCATTCCTGAAATGACCTCTCAGTTGTGTTCTGACATAATTTCAATATAAGTGGTTCAATAAGATGCTGGTTGTAAACAGATGCTCTAGAATATACAGAAATAAGAACAATGGCAATGCCAAGAAATGTGGCAGTCTTCTATGAAGAAATATTTCTTATAAGATGTTGTGTGTATGAAAATTTACAGACAGGATGTCTCTAATGGAGGCGTTCAATAATTATCAATAGAAAAAAGTAATTCTGCTCCACTAACAAAAGGTATAAATAAATAAGCATTCACGGGGTCTACTCACCTTCTCCTTCCTTCCTTTCTGTTCCCGCGGCGCCATCCCCTGCGTTGGAGGCTCCTCCTACAGCCAACTCTGCTAAAGGGCCAGTGAGGTTGTCTATGCTGCTGGCAGCAGAGAGGCAGGAGGGGGTGGATGCTGGTGAGATCAGAGAGGCACTCACTACAGTAGCCTGAGGTTTAAAACAGGTAGGTAAGGCCTCTGGGGGCATGGCATCTATCAGCAAAGCTCTGATATCGTCAGCCTAAAAAAATGATTAAAAAAAAAAACGTGAAAAGACTATATATTGAAATGGTAAGTTTTTCACTAAAAACCAAATGCTTTGTGGATTTTTTCCTTAATGAATGCCTCATTATCTATCCCCTTCTGGTTTTTGATCATTCCTTCTCCTATCCACAGCTCCAAAGAGTTTCAGTAGTTTCAGTAAACAGAATTGGAGAAACCATGTAATTTTTAAAAATATTTCTTCTTTCATTAAAAAAAAAGCACTTTCAGTGTTAACTGTCACCCTTCTTTAGAAAAATTTCCATATTTACTATATTTTGTTTATGTTTAAACAGCTATAATAATAATCTGGTTATTTACACTTAATAATGTCATGTAAAATTAGCATCTGGTGAAATTTCAAAGGGATGACACTCTTAGCTCATTTATTCATAAACTTTACAGTTTTTAAGTATTAGATGCAACTGCTTTTCGAGTATGCGGGAGATAGTCTCCAGAGACAGCCAGCCATCAATTCCTTCCTCCCGACACGCATGCCTCCCCTTGAATTTCTACCCACCTTGAATGTGCTTTGCCCTGTGAGTTGTCTTGCCCAATAGAATGCAGAAGTGATGTTCTGAGGCTTCTGAGCCAGGCTTTAAGTGGATTGGCAGTGTCTACTTTTACTCTCTTAGAAGCCATCTGTCATGCTGTACAGAAGTTTGGGCTAGACTACTGAGGGCTGAGATCCTATGCAGGGAGAGCCCTGCAGGATGAAAGGCTATCTTGGAAGCTCCAGCCTCTGCTGAGTTCCCAGGTGCAGGTAACTACAAAACCAGCAGAACTGCCCAGCTGAGCCCAGTCAACTCCCAGAAGTGTGAGAAATAACAAATCGTCATGTTAAACCCTCACTGGGTTTGGGGGTGGCTTAGTGTGCAGCAATAGAGAAATGAAATGCACACCAGTACCGGGAAGTGGGGTGCTGGTGGACATGTGGCTTTGGTTGGAGGTGTGAAGGGTGGCCTGGTTATTGCTGAGGAAGGCTGTGAGTGGAAGACAGGCAAGTGCAACTGAAGGCAAGAGAAAGGGGACTGATGCTGTGTAGCAGAAAGTTTGGCAACACTGGCACATGAGGTCTTATAGAAGGCAGAACGTGAACCTAAATAAACTTGTAAATTTGGCTAAGGAAATTTCCAGAACAAATTTTGCCTCGCCAGCTGGACTGGTATGTTTACAGAGAGAAAGGAACTGTTTAGTTCTCTTTAAGGAAATGTATTCACCCAAGATTTGCTAGGTTAGAAAATAAAATTATTCACCATTCCCAGCCTCTCCATCAGCAAAAGTTTCTTCAAGTAAGGCATAGCCTCAGGCCAAAGGTCAAATCTAGGGTGCTGACAGGAAAACATGGCCTCAGAATAAAAATCACCAGAAGTATAGATATATTACCTCAAAATCTTTAAAAAACCTCTAAGGTGGTACCTTGTGAATTCCCTTGGCTAGATGAAAGAGCTTCGAAGGGTCTTATGGGCATTGCCCCACTGCACCTTGACTTGGAATCCATATTACAGAGGGACCTGTCTTGAAAAGATTTGTGGGTGGGGCTTTTGGCTGATGGAGTGGTGCATAGTTTGATGGGAAATCCAAAAGTTTATAAAGGAAGAGTTGCACTATTTTGGACTAAAAGGGACAGGTAGATTAAAATAGTAAAAGGCTTAGGGTCCCCAAAATTTCTAGGAGCAGGTAAAAGGTTGAGAAAGCCATTTGGCTGTAAATACGATCCATTTCTTATGAAAAGAGAAGGATAATTCAGAGGGCATGGCCAAGAGCTACAGAGGCTGGGTACAGTGGCTCACACCTGTAATCCTAGCACTTTGGGAGCCTGAGGAAGGAGGCTGAGGGAGGAGCCCAGGAGTTCAAGGCTAACCTGGGCAACATAGCAAGACCCTGTCTCTACAAAAAGTAAAAAAAAAAAAAAAAAAGCCAGGCATAGTGGCACGTGCCTGTAGTCCCAGCTACTTAGAAGACTGAGGTGGAGGGATGGCTTAAATCTGGGAGGTCAAGGTTGCGGTGAGCCATGATCATGCCACTGCACTCCGGCCCGGGTGACAGAGCCAGACTGTGTCTCAAGAGAAAGAAAAAGAAAGAAAGGAAGAAAAAGACAGCCACAGTGAACCACTCCCTGGGAGCAGAACTGGGCCCTAATCAGGCACCATTCCCTAACTCCAGAGTAGACAGCCCTGATAACACGTGCCTGGCTGAATTTTAGAACTGCTAAGGACCCAGTGATGACTATCTGTGCCCCTTGTTGGTTGGGGGAACGTGTGGCAGGTAAGTGTAATTTGAATGTGGGAAAAATAGATTTAATTTGTATTCACAGGGAAGACTGTGGCTGATTAAAGATGGCCATGAAATCTTTGCTTCTCCTTTCAAAGAAGGTGGAATCTATTTTCCTATCCCTTGAACCTGAGCTGAGTTCATGACTCACTTTGCACAACAGAATGTGGCGGAAGTGACAGCATGTCAGTTCCAGGCTTAGCCTTAAAGAACAATGGCAGCCTCTGCTTTCTCCCTCTTGAGATGCAATTATTTGGTGAAGAAATTCCAACAAGACTACTTAATGATGAGATGCCACGTGGGACTAGAGAGGCCCCAGCCTTCTAGCTGTATTTGTCAAGGCCCCAGGCATATGAGTGAAGCCATCTTTATGTTTCTGCCCCAGCCACCAGCTATATGCAGTTACACAAGTGACCCCAGGTAAGACCAGAAGAATCTCCTAGCCAACATACAGAATCATAAGAAATAATAAATCATTATTATTTTAAGCCACTAAGTGTTTTGAAACAGTTACTCAGCAATAAATAAATGAAACAGAATATAACTTGAAAAAACATTTCTGGCTTAAAAAATTAGAAATTATTGTGACTATACAGTAACTCCCTGATTTTCAGAAAGTTCAGGGAAGAGGATGTGGTGCTTAACTTTGACTCTGCAGTTAAATAATACTGCCCAGAGTTAATTTTTCTTTGACCATCTCACGGACTTAGGTAAATCATCATGAACATTAGTTGCTCTACAATAATATGCCAAATATAGAAGGTACGAGATAAGTTTATAAAGGAAGCGTGTGGCAGGTGAGGGTACACTCTAAAAATGTGTTTTCTTATGATTCATGTTTTCCTAGCAGGCTAAGAATGGCAAAAAAAATTACACTAACTTACTGATTAGTTTGCCTTAGAGTTTTAAATTATATTTTCATAGAAAAAGTGTGAACTTCAAAAATGTTCAGAAGGAGATCTCTGTTCTAAGTGAAATAAACATGACTAAAAGTAAGCTGGTGAGCCTGAGAATTTAATGTCATCTCGGAAAGTATAAGGAACAATACTCAGTATTTGAAATGAGGACTTACTGTTGCCAGATCCAGAGGCGTCTGGCCTTCCTGGTTCTTCATGGTGGGGTCTGCACCATGCGCTAGAAGGAGGGCGCACAGCTGCGTCCTTCCTTTCTGGGCTGCTTCATGGAGAGGAGTAAACGCCCACTTATCTGTTGCATTTACACACGTGTTGTATTTTATCAATAATGCCGCTATGTCAACATGCTGAAGAAAAAGAAAAGGATACAAAGATTAAGAATGAGATCATCTGGTAAAGCACCATCGTGTATACTTGTTTTTATTTAATAATTCACTCCCTCTATGTCTCCATTTTCATCCTTAACAGAAGTTTCTTCTAAAAAATAAAAAAGAATTTCAGTCTTCTACCTACACTTTGGACTCCATCTTTTCTTGCCTCCTTTAAAATCTCAATTACACAACTATACTATTATCCTGTAACTGTTCATGGGCTTTTTTCAAAAAAATTCATCCTTCTAATATATTCAGCTTTATTTTAAAAACAAATATGATGTAAGGTGTTTCGTTTTGTAAAGTGAAACTAGTACCTAATTCAAGTCTTCTGTTAATGGTCTAATCGATCTGCCAAACTTTTCAAACACGCATTCTATTCACATTGATTCTCTTATCTTCCCATTTCTTTTCTAACCTAATGCAATCAGATTTACTGAAATACTCATCTCAAAGATTCTCAATGTTTTTGCTTCAGCCTTTGAAAAAGCAACGTAACATTTTATGAAAATTGGTCTATTATGTCTAAATGATTGAGGGGTGGAGGAAATGTTAGCAGCAGACATGCCAATAACCTGGGCGTGAGGTGATGAGACCCTGAACCGTTGACAGTTACAGAAAAATGGAAAAGAAGGGCTAAATCTGAGAAATTTTGAAAGAAAAAAAATTGGGTTTAGAAAGCCAAATTCACAACAGAAGAGAAAAAGTCAAAGATGACTACATTTTCTGGGAAGGGGGGAAGGAGGGGAGAATCTAGAAGATTAGAAAATAAGATAGAACTATTAACAGAAATTGAGTTGTAAAAGTTTAAGTAGGGGCTGGGTGCGGTGGCTCACGCCTGTAATCCTGGCACTTTGGGAGGTTGAGGTGGGCGGATCACCTGAGGTCAGGAGTTCGAGACCAGCCTGGCCAACATAGTGAAACCCCGTCCCTACTAAAAATACAAAAATTAGCTGGGAATGGTGGTGAAAGCCTGTAATCCCTGCTACTCGGGAGGCTGGGGCAAGAGAATCGCTTGAACCCAAAAGGCAGAAGTTGCAGTGAGCTGAGATCAGCACCACTGCACTCCAGCCTGGGTAACAGAGCAAGGCTCCATCTCAAAAAAAAAAGGAAGTTGAAGTAGGTATGAAACTCTCAGATAAGGCTCATTGAGATAGTAGGCACCTTCTGAGGTAAAACCTCCAAGTAAAGACATTCTGTAGATGGTTTGTCAGAAGAGGCTGGAGCACAGTCAAGGGGGCATCAATTCATTCATTCACTCACTCACTCTCCCGCCACTCACCCACTAACCAGCATCTGCTCAATACCTACCAAGGGCTGAGGATTGGGGCTGGGGGCTCCAGGGAGATTATGAAATGGAATAGTGGATTAATAGTTGTAGCTACTTGACAAATGAGCTCATTAAGGAAAGGAATACAGAAAGGTAATTACAAGGTGGATAAAACCTTGAAAACAACAGTATTTTGGACAAGGAGAGTGGAAGAAAAATCCTCAGAGGAGACAAAAGGAAAAATGGAAGCTGGAGAAGAACAATAAAGGAGCAGGACTATAAAAGCCAATATAGGAGCAAGTTCCATGGAGACCAGGTTCACTCAAGAAAGAGCTCCATATAGCAAAAGGCTTCAGCTTCTTCTCAAAAATCCTTATAAAATAAGCTAAGACAATCGATTACACAATAGGCACTACTGATTCAACAGATAGGCTTTTTAAGAATATTAAAAATAGGCCGGGCGCGGCGGCTCAAGCCTGTAATCCCAGCACTTTGGGAGGCCGAGACGGGCGGATCACGAGGTCAGGAGATCGAGACCATCCTGGCTAACACAGTGAAACCCCGTCTCTACTAAAAAATACAAAAAACTAGCCAGGCGAGGTGGCGGGCGTCTGTAGTCCCAGCTACTCGGGAGGCTGAGGCAGGAGAATGGCGTAAACCCGGGAGGCAGAGCTTGCAGTGAGCTGAGATCCGGCCACTGCACTCAGGCCTGGGTGACAGAGTGAGACTCCATCTCAAAAAAAAAAAAAAAAGGAATATTAAAAATAACTTGTATATTTCTATAAATACATTTAGGATGTTAGGCTGGTTACCACTTATTTCTGAGATCCATTTCAACTCCAATATACTATAATTCGGTGCAATTGGCACATTTATGTCCCTTACAGACACATTTCCAGGCATAACTTGGTCAGTTTGGATAATTAACTCAAAAGCACATTATCTGTTGAGAATACATTTCTAACTCATGCTGCTGCTCAACTACCATACATTGAGGTTTTTAAGGAAGACATGTATGAGAATGGAAAAAGACAGGGAAGGCCAAGAAAGTTCCCAAGGTGCTACTAAATGCGTGTCACTTTCTATCTTCCTTAAAATATCATTGTCTTCCCTGCACTCTTGAAGACACTCACTTCAAAAAGAACTGGCACTTTTTCGGAGGTAGTATTTAACTTTATGTAATATAAATATCTGTATTTCCTAATTTTAGAAATAGTAGTTTCTGAAAACGAAGTGAAGAACATTTATCTAAAAAGAAAAGTACAGATCAGTCAACTACTAAGGAAAGTTTCCACATTTGCTCTAATAATACAAAGTAAAAAGCTGCCAAAAAAACAAAAAGTAGGCCAGGTGCAGTGGCTCACTCCTGTTATCCCAACACTGTGGGAGGCTGAGGCCAGCAGATCATTCAAGGTCAGGAGTTTGAGACCAGCCTGGCCAACATGGTGAAACCCCATCTCTGCTAAATTACAAAAATTAGCTGGGTGTGGCGCCACACACCTGTAATCCCAGCTACTCGGGAGGCAGAAGAATCGCGTGAATCCGGGAGACGGAGGTTGCAGTGAGTTACGATTGCACCACTGCATTCCAGCCTGGGTGAAGAGTGAGATTCCATCTCAAAACAAAACAAAACAAAACACCCCATAAACAAAAAATAAAATAAAAAAGCAGTATAATCAGACTAAGGCTTCTCAGAACAGGATATGTTTGGTGATTCTTCTGGCATTACACTATCACTATAAAATTAATTCTATAGCTTAATTATTTTTAAATTTTCTAACACAAAAGATGAAAACAGAGGTACCACTTGTGGTATTATCAAAATCACCTAAAACAAAACCAAACCTAGTAATTTATCTCCCTTATTCAAAGGCTATATGTTGAAAAAAGACAGTAATTTTTGTTAAGTTAACCCAAAAGCACGGAATAATTTCAAGCTTCTCCCCAGTGAGGTTACAAGCTATTTAAACTGTTTCTGATGATTAATTTTATTGAACTCCCGTGTTTACTGGCAGAATAATATCATTTGGTAGACTAATTTACACAGGCTTCCAAAATTACAAAAAGTCCAAGGAAAATTACATGTTTGTGTATATGTGTATAAAATGAATTGTATTATCTAGTATGCATTACTAAGCTTTCTTTATATTGAAGTTATAGTTTATGCTTGGACAAACCAATTACATGCTTGTGAAATTTTCTGACAAATGTCTGAAAGAACAATGAACAGGAAGGAGTATATTACTACCCAAATAGACTAAAAATATAGTTCTTAAGCTGTTTAATTCTTTTACATAGCTATACCACAGAGGCAAAAATAGTAACTAGAATTTAAGGCTGACAAATCCAATAAATAGCAGTTCAATTCTATTCAACACAATATATAAGAGCAAAGTACTGAACTAGATGGTCCAGAAAAGAAACTGATCTCTGTTGGAATGTTTCCAGGAGAAACAGACAATTTAACATAGTTTCAGAATCCAGCTGCAATACAAAATGCTTTAAATGACAAATACAACATAAAAAGACTGGGAAGCCTTCAATTTTAAAAAGGTGGGAAGTAGGGGAAAGAGAAATGTGCTTAGCTTCAGTTAAAGCCATTTAACTGTGTAGATGCTTTATTACAATTATGTCATGAAAATTCCCCAGATGTTATCCATTTTAGAGAAAGCACTGGAAAATAAAAACAGTTGAGAGAAAATGTATCAGCCAACTGATTTACTCTTATAAGATATAAATTTACATGCTTCGTCGTAATAAGTATCAATGCCATTTACTGACTAGCAGAAAAGTTAACTGTCTTGCGTAAACATGCATTCAAATATAATACAAGGCATTGTTATATAAAGAACACCAACACAGTAAGGCACACTACCACTAATATCAGCTCTCATGCAACTTGTAATTTTTATTGATGCTTCTTAAATAAATATGTATTTTTTTCTCCATTCGGAAAAACTGAGGTTCTTTTTATACAAAAAAGGCTCAAAGACACACAAAGCAGACTGGGCTCTCTAGCGGAAAAAAGGTAAACATGTATGAAGGAATAATGAACAAGAAATAACTGTATAAGTAAAGAACTATGTAATTTCACAGCTACCTCAGATTATTATTTCATCCTCAGGCCAGTCAATTAATCTGTGTTTATTTAATACAGTACTGAGCCAGTCAAATATATAGATTGTTCCTAAGGCTGTGAGATGTTAAGAGTGACATGCAGCCCTTATTCTGACTGGCTCAGTACAGAGGCTGTGGGAAGTGAGGAATTTACTAATTTTTAGTATCTCTATATCTTTCTCTATATCTATCTCTCTCTCTCTATATATATATATAGATATAGAGATATATATATACTTTTTGGTAGAAATAGAGATACCTCTCTCTATATATATAGATATAGAGATAGATATATACTTTTTGGTAGAAATGGGGTCTCGCTATGTTGCCTAGGCTGGTCTTGAACTCTTGGGCTCAAACGATCCTCCCGCCTCAGCCTCCCAAAGTGCTGGGATTATAGGCATGAGCCATTGCACCCAGTCATGAAGCAAGTTATTTTATAATAACAGTATTTTTATAATCCTTTACATTAGATAAAGGAATTTCCACATGCACGGTCTCATTTAATCATTACAACAACCTGGAAAGAAGGTCTTGGAATCCAACTTTTCCTACTGAGAAAACCGAAGATGAGAAAAATTTAGGCACTTGCTGAAGACTACTGGGTTATAAAACAGAAGAGGAAAGATGAGATCCCAGATATTCAGACTCTAAGTTCAGCTTTCTCCATTAAACCACAGATGCCTGCAGAGTGTGCTAGACTAAAACACAAGAGCCATTTTCTTTCCAAGCTGAAAATGGGAAAGAGAATAATATTAGGAAGAAGAAATTATTTAAGTAGAGATCCCTGGGTAACACTATACCTACAATTGCTCTATATATTGCTTAATTTTCAGTATAGAAGCTCTATTCCAGATGATATGCCACAGAAAATCTACTCCACAAAATGATTATATGTGGCCAGGCTAGTTCAAGCATCATCAAATTCATGGGATGAATATAAAATAATCAGTGTTTTGCCATCCTAATAGAAATGTAGACTGGGGCCCTATGATTTCATTAAAATGTCCAGCCAAGGCAGGATAGAATGAATAAAAAGGAACTTTTGAAAGATACACAGATTTATCAATCTACAAATAATAGAAACATAGTTATGTTTCTATTATTCTACTCCTTAGCTGAGGGGAGACAATGTAGCTTTTTACACTTTTTATATTGTGTTAATATTAGTACTCCTTAAAAATACAAATATACGTATTTATTAGTACTCCTTAAATATATATGGATATATATATCCTTAAATATGTATACTTACATATTTAAGGAGTACAAATAAATACTCCTTAATCCATTATATTTTAAATATTTATTTATAAATATTTATTTTTTAAATATTTATGTAAAATATAATTATATAGAGATACGGTCTCACTATGTTGCCCAGGGTGGTCTCAAAATCCTGGTCTTAAACCATATTGCTGTCTCAGCCTCCCAATGTGCTGAGATTACAGATGTGAGCCACCATGCCTAGCCTTACTTTAAGTCTATTAATTGAGATTAAGAGAAATACTGACTTAATATGGTTACTGACTGGTTACTCATAATAGATTATATTATAGGTTTTACAAGTGGCATTAAATAAAATTATTTTGCAGAGCAGAGATTCTGAATGGGGAAAATGCCAACCGAGAGTCACTGTGGGTCATGTGAGATGGCTGAGGGAAGTGGGTTGCCCATGTTAAAAAACAAACAAAAAAAAGGTATTATCACACTCATGTATCTGACCAAAAAAAAAAAAAAAAAAAAAGGTCTAGAAACCACCAAAGTGAAAGTTTGTCAAAAAAGTGATAGTCATCAACTCGCGGATGCCTGAGTTTTAAATTTACAAGTTTAATACATGAAAAAATTTTTGAGTGACTCAATCCACCCTCACAATGAGGTAAAAATACCTGCTATAAACATATTATATAGCCCATTTGCCTTCTTCTGTACAAGGATGAGATGCACCAGGCTGATCAAAACCTCTATCAAATGCCCTTTACATAGCCTGGAGAATTTTTTGTTCACTTTCACCTCAGTAAGTTACCTTCATTTACAAACAGCTAAGCAGTAGGGATTTAACATAAAAAGAGATAGTGAAAAAAAGTATTCATTATTTTTTTTCACTTGGAGTTAGAAAAGGAGAAGGGGAGTTACGGGTGACGGTGAATTAAGTTTATGAAAATGAAAGAGTGGACTTCTGGTCGGGAGACTGATTGCATTACACCTCTCTTCAGCTGACAGCAAGTCAGCCTCAAGGGAACATGAAGTTGAACAAGGTCGACCAGCACTCTACGTTACGCTTGAGCCCCAAGAGAACCACTGTACATTTTACTCTCTTCACAGTGGTCGTCAAGTGACACACATGTAGAGTAAGTAACATCTTAACTGATGGGGATCAAAAGGTAAAATACTTACTTTATAAATTAACTTTTCTTTATCCTCTGTGACAGCTATAGAGACTGTGCAAGGTGAAGACTAATGGAGTAGAACACATCTTAACGCTAGCCCATGAGAAGAATGAGGATCAAAAGGTAAAATACTTTATAAATTTTTTCTTTTTCTTATCCGTCGTGACTGCTATAAAGACTGTGAAAGGTGCAAGCTAATGGAGTAGAACTTCCCTACATCCACAATGTATGGGATCTACTGTAGTCTACACAGTTGACAGTGTTAACATAAGCTTTACTATAATTCTATGGCCACCACCTGTCCTTACTCATAGCAGGTTTACAGAGAAGATAAAAGATCTAATTTCAGTTCTACTGATCCCATTGGCTTTATAAATTCTTAACTGAAGCCAAGCAAAAGGATTAGTAGAATACCATATGAAGAGAACAATTATGCTAAGAAGTGCTGAAAATTATAATAAAATCCAAATGATATACATGTATAGTTATAACTTAAGGGTCAAGAATTACATGTAATGTATATGTAGTATGTTAGCAGCAAATATTTAGCATGCCAAGTCTTTGGTAGAAGTATTTGTTGTTCAGAGAAATTGAGAGCCTTATGTGAAGGAAGGTTAAAATGTATATGAATTTTAATAAAAGATTACTCATCTTTAGAAAGATAACTTTAAATATTGTAGTTTCAAGATGATTTCAGTACTAATACTTATTAAATATAATTTTGACTAATTTATATCATACTTAGAGGCATAATTTTCTTTTAGAAAACTGGATTGTTGCTTTCCTTAAAAGTATCACCACTCCGATTTGTCATACAGATCTTTGTAGAATGGGCTTGAGAGATGACAGTCTCATTACGAAGGGCCAGGGAGAAGGCAGTAGGAGGAAGAATATGGTAATCAAGGTGGTTGGTTTGGTTTGGTTTTTACTTACAGTTTGTCAGGCTTTTGCAAATCTAGAAACCACCTTCTATCAATAGTGATTCCAACTGTGAGAACACCTGGTATGTATGAACTGGCATCTGTGGGTTTTTATAGTCAAGAAGGGATTAAGTGGATGAACTGTCAAGCACATGAGCATTCCTCCTATTTCTGCCGTGAGCCATCAGGCTTGAGTGAGCCTTAGTTACTTTCAGTCAGTTCTGACATATGGCATCAAGGCACTGCAATCCATTTCTCTTCCTCTTACAACTGATGATAGTGTTTGAAAGGATAACTCTGGACTTTCACTGGGAGGTTTTAGCTAGTAATTCCTACTCTATGAAACCATATATATCAACTGCTCAACCATTTAATTTTTTTTTTTTTTTTTAAATGAGGTCTCACTATGTTGACCAGGCTGGCCTTGAACTCCTGGGCTCAAGCGATCTTCCCACCTCAGCCTCCTGAATGGCTGGGATTACAGGCACATGCCACTGTGCCTGGCTACTCGAATATGTTTAAGGTGCTGAAGATAAATGTAAGCCACCATACTTTCCATGGCTGTATAACAGTCGCACAGCTTTTATAGTTTTTAAAATCTACTTGGAGTACAGTTAAGAAATTGATATTTATTATATTATTTTATATATTATATTATATTATTGACAAATATAAACTGAACACCCGTTACATGCCTATTATTGTGCTTGATAATGTGCTGAGACCAAAAAGCAATAAAAAGCATGATTGTTGGCCAAAAGGTAGTTAAGTTTAGCTGGGAAGAAACGCCAAAACTCTGAACAAAAGATTAAAATTGTGCTAAATCATGCTATTAGTTAGATATCTACTCACTTAACGCATAGTATGCATTTAACAAAGTCGTAAATGCCAGGGAAGTTTTCTAGATTTTATTTTATTTTATTTATTTATTTTTGAGATGGAGTCTTGATCTGTGGCTCAGGCTGGAGTGCAGTGGCACAATCTCAGCTCACTGCAAGCTCCGCCTCCCAGGTTCACACCATTCTCCTGCCACAGCCTCCCGAGTAGCTGGGACTGCAGGCGCCTGCCACTATGCCTGGCCAATTTTTTGTATTTTTAGTAGAGACGGGGTTTCACCGTGTTAGCCAGGATGGTCTTGATCTCCTGACCTCATGATCCGCCCGCCTTGGCCTCCCAAAGTGCTGGGATTACAGGCGTGAGCCACCATGCCTGGCCAGTTTTCTAGCTTTCAACGTTAGTATGCTTACCCCATAAGATGCCGCATTATGAAGAGGAATTAAACCACCCTTGTCCTGGGCATTAACATCAGCTCCATGCTCTAGAAGATATTCAGCTACTTCCAGGTTATTGTAGCCTGCTATTTAGAGTAAAAAAAATACAGGAAACGTGTCAGCTTAAAAGAAAAAAAATACATACATATAAAATAAGGACCAGAAAATGTTAAGGTTTTAATACTTTTTGCTTCAAAAGTTAATACTATTATCTCATAATGGAGGGACTTCACAATAAGAAATTATACAAAACTATGTCAATCAAGAGCATTTTACTAAGTAGTCCCATTTATGTTCAGCATGGCTTTCATCTTTTAGTACACTGTATCAGGTGTCCGAGAAAGGAAAAGGAGGCGTGGAGGCACTGGGGGCGCTCACCTGCCAAGTGCAGAGGGGTTGAATTTCTGCCCTGGGTGTCTCTGCAGTTGATATTTTCGGGGGTACAGAGCTTCTGCACTCTTGCCAGGCAGCCCTTCTTGGCAGCATCCAACAAGGCAGCATCCCCTCTCAGTAAGTCCTGAATATCTGTGTCTCCTTCTTTTACCAAATCCAAAGGTGTATTTCCATCTCTGTTCTTTTTAGTTGGATCTGCCCCATGCTACAAAGAAGAAAAACCAAATGGGGTTTGTATTTTCTATAGTATCTTTCTGTAGTAAGTAGGTAGGTAGGTAGGTAGGTACTTAATTTACTCTACCTTTGTTCCTCCAGGGGAAGGTATCTATGCTATATGCATTTTGAAAAACACTTTGCAAAATTCCTACTTAGCAATATAATGGATCAGCTTTCTAACTATTAATACTACTCAGTAAAAGCTTCAGGATCAATGGTGATGATAAAGTAGGGAGACTGTTAAGTATCTTTGAGATAACTTGTTTAATATACTTTTTCTCTGATTCCAAGTTGTCTTTGGAAACCTATTTTACTTTGAAGAATAGCATGGATGTTAATTTTGACCAGATTCAATTACATAAAGATACTCAGTAGGTATGAAAAAGAAGAGAGTAAGACACGCTGGTAAAAAAGGACTTAATTCTAAAGGCCATCTTTAGAATTAGTAAGAATAAAGTTTGGTAATATTTTTAATATTTTTATCCTAAGTCTTAACATCTACCATGAAATTAGATATAAAGGTATTAAAATTAGAGATTTTAAAAGTTTAATTACCAATATCTATTAAATAAAGTAAATAGAAGTCAGTAATTTTTATTATAGGTTGGCCACAAACTGTAGTGGGCTCACTGAGGAAATTAGTTGTAAGTCAAGTTGGACAATGGATTCACAATGACTTGGAAGTTATTTCTTACCAACCAGTGATAATAAAAATGAGTATCAGATACTGTGTTTTTCTCAAGATTCATAAGAACATATTTGATATCATAAAAGTGAAGGGAGAAGAATTTTATTTAAACACATCAATTTTTTTTTTCTGTAGTTAAAAAAAAGCAAGAGAAAATCTCATAAATACACATCTGGTCATTTTTTAAAAATATACTTTAACTTAAAGTGAGCATAAATTATAGTTAGTTTCATATAACTACTAGTTTTTACTCTTTTACATGTATCTCAAATCTATATGAACAACTTTGTCTAGAGATTATCTTATATTTTAATAAAAATCTGTTATTAAAATAAGTTCTTAAAAGATAAAATGTTTAATGTTTACTAATGAAGAATGAGTTAGTTAACAATAATAAAATAGCCAACAAGGAAAAAAAAAACCAACTAGATTGAAAAGCTTATTTCTCCTGTACAATTTTTTCTGTTATTAATACTATAAGTACTAGATAAGCAATGCAAACTATTTCAGCTCTTTGTAAAACCTACTTTGATGAATTTTTATGACATGGACTTAATCAAACCATTTCAGATATTAAGCTATGTATCGTACCACATAAACAGTCTTCGGGGAAATAGAAAATGAGAGCAGTCTTTACAGCAGTATTGTTCTTAATAGAATAACATACCCCAACTTACTTTCAAGTAACAACCAAAATATAAATACAATTAGTCTATATTTCATAACTTTTTAAACTACATACTTTTAAAAGGAGCTTGCAGATTTCATACTTTCCTTTAGCTGCTGCTTCATGGAGAGGGGTAAATTTCCATAAGTCCGCCACATTGACAGAAGCCCCATGCCTTACTAAAAGCTCAGCCACCTCATAGTGTCCATATGAACAGGCATTATGAAGGGGCACCAAGCCACTAAGCAAAAGAAAATTATTTTAAAGTTATAAAACAAATCTTTGAGTTAAAATGATTCTTATAATAAAAATACTACCATTCTTCTACGGTACTGACTATACTGAACACTGCTCAAAAAGAAATACACCCACCTCTGTTCTTTAAGATATAGTTATCCATTTGTAAATAAGGAGTAGTAATTTCAAAAATGTCCTTTCAATGTAAAGACTTTTTCCTAAGTTTCTTGGGGATGGATATATACTCACAGCAATCCTTATCTTTATGAGTTTTACTAATGAAAACTGTATGCTTACTTATAAAAAATATAATGCAATTAACTTATTTAGGCAAGTTCTATCTTGGTAAAAAGTTGTTTAAATCATAGTGGTGATTGAATCATAGTGGTTTAATCATAGTGGTGATTCAGTGGTGACTTCCGTGCAGAGGTTTAAATACTGAGGTACCAAACAATGAAAATTCACAATCCAGGTAATTCAGAAAAGTATTCAGTGAGAAAAATGATGATGTCAACTGTAAGTGCTACTCAGATAAGAAACGGGCAAACTATTCTGAGAGGAGTCTAAGCTCTGATCAGTAAGCAGTTGACATTCTAAAAGGACAAAAAGATGCTCCCACAAAAGAGTGCATCAAAAGAACAAAATGTCGAACTTAACACATGGCAGAAGCAAAGTATTGAGTGCATTTTTTTTTTTTTTTTAGTTTTGGGATGAAATATGCTAAGTGTTAAAATGAGCAATAGAAGCAAATGCTGCTTGCTCTCCAATACACTGTAACACTTTGAAAGCACTAGTGATATTGTTAGTGAATATTCATGTCTGATGTGTCCCTTTTAAAAGATAAATAAATACATAATAGTTCAATGAGGCCTAAATCGTGCAGTTTAATTCTACTGTGCACTGCTATGTAATTACACAGAAAGCTATTGGCTTATTTTGAGATGATGTGAAATTAACTCACAACACGGGAATTCCTATCAGTTAAAATATCTTTCTCACATTTCTAAGTAGCTGCCTTAGGCTTTGTCTAGACAAATTAAAATAATTTAACAAACTAACATAAAATATAGAGTATCTGAATTAGTAAAAATAAAATTATGCTTCTAGGAATACTGATGACTTTGGGATGGATGACTTCTTTTTAGAAGAGACTATACATTTTTAATAGCAAAAAAGAAGAATAAACAATAACTTACAGACTATATAAAAACATTCATATAAGGCCAGGCGTGGTGACTCACGCCTGTAATCCCAGCACTTTGGGAGGCCTGGGTGGATGGATCACGAGGTCAGGAGATCAAGCCCATCCTGGCTAACCCAGTGAAACCCCATCTCTACTAAAAATACAAAAAATTAGCTGGGCATGGTGGCGGGTGCCTGTAGTCCCAGCTACTCGGGAGGCTGAGGCAGGAGAATGGTGTGAACCCGGGAGGCGGAGCTTGCATTGAGCTGAGATCGCGCCACTGCACTCCAGCCTGGGTGACAAAGTGAGACTCCATCTCAAAAACAAAACAAAACAAAAAACAAAATTTATATAATGCAATAAAATACTATATACAAACATTAAAAGAAGGAGACTACTAAGTACTGATATGGGAACACTATTCAAGATACACTATTGGGTGGAAAAAGTAAACTGCAAAGCAGACCGTATAGGATGGTACCACCATTTGTGTTAAAAACCACTACCACCACCACAGCACACAGACAAGTCTATGCATTTACAGTACCTGGAGGAATACATTCAACATTTTAATGCTGTATCTCTGAGCAGGAGGTGGGCTGACAGGAAATTTTCACTTTCTATACTGTACATTTCTATGTTTGTTTTTTTTTTTTTTTGAGACGGAATTTCATTCTTGTTGCCCAGGCTAGAGTGCAATGGTGTGATCTCAGCTCACTGCAACCTCCACCTCCCGGGTTCAAACGATTCTCCTGCCTCAGCCTCCCGAGTAGCTGGGATTACAGGCACGTGCCACCATGCCTGGTTAATTTTGTATTTTTAGTAGAGACGGGGTTTCACCACGTTGGTCAGGCTGGTCTCAAACTCCTGACCTCAGGTGATCCGCCCGCCTTGGACTCCCAAAGTGCTGGGATTACAGACGTGAGCCACTGCGCCTGGCACATTTCTGTTTTTTGTTTTGTTTTGTTTTTGTTTTTTTTGAGACAGAGTTTCACTCTTGTTGCCCAGGCTGGTGTGCAACGGAGCAATCTCAGCTCACGGCGTGCACCACCACACCCGGCTAATTTTGTATTTTTAATAGAAACAGGGTTTCTCCATGTTGGTCAGGCTGGTTGCGAACACCCAACCTTAGTTCATCCTCCCGCCTTGGCCTCCCAAAGTGCTGGGATTACAGGCGTGACATTTCTATGTTTTAATTTATGTTTTAAACAAAAAAATGAGGATTCCTTTTTTAATAAAGAAAAAAATCTAAGACTTCAAAAATATTTAAAATTTTTTTAAGCATGAAGAGAATGACTACCAAACAGCTAACTTCTAACACGTACCCCTTGTCTTTGGCATGGACATCGGCACCGTGGTGTAGCAGGTACTCTACAACAGACACGCGGTTGTAGCCTGCCGCGAAGTGTAAGGGCGTGGAATGCCGGCCCTCTAAGTCTCTACAATTCACATTTTGAGGGCTGCAAAGTTGCTTTCGTGGTGCACACACAGAGACAAACACAAAACAAACATTACTATTTATTCACAGGTTTTGCCCCAAAATAGTGCAACATCTTGGATAAATAAATTATAATTTTCTAATCAATATTTATTTCCAAAGATTAAACAATACAAATGTCTAGAAATCAGCACTACGCTTTACAGTGACTACAAATATTTATTATATACAGAGCAAATCAATGTTTTTCAACATTTCCTGACCAAAATCAGAATCAAATAGAAAAACCCACAATAAAGCAAGCATTTTCAATGCAAACACTGCCTTACTGTTTTATCTTTGTCTTTCCTCCCCGAGATACGCTATACTGTTTGTCATGGCACACCTGCTTGTGCTAACACCAACCTCAGTTGACTATGTAACTAGAGAGCTCTTGTCTTCTCTAATGTGAGTCAAGCGAGCAAAAAGGCTCTGGAAAAATTATTTTTCTGCCTGGGCCTCTCCCTCGGTCTTTTGATTGACTACAGCAAAGCTATGTAGTCAACAGGTCTTTACTTGACTTTTGGGGCAATGTTTGCTTACCTTTACAAGTTAAACTGGTTTTTTAATCATACCCTAGTTTTTGGGCTTTACTTCCATCTCTTTCAGAGATGTCCCCCTAATCTCTTCGGTGTCTCCTTATCTCTCTCTGAATGCTTCAATTTCAGCACAATCTAAATTGTAAGCTCAATTTGTTTACAAAGCAGCAGGATGCCACGTAAGGAATGAAAGACTATATCACCGGTGGTAGTAAGTGAGTAATGATAATAGCTGAATAATAATTTACAGTTTATAAAGAATATCAGCTGGGCGTGGTGGCTCACGCCTGCAATCCTAGCACTTTGGGAGGCCAAGGTGGGCAGATCACAAGGTCAAGAGATCGAGACCATCCTGGCCAACATAGTGAAACCTCGTCTGTACTAAAATTACAAAAATTAGCTGGGCATGGTGGTGCACGCCTGTAGTCCCAGCTACTCGGGAGGCTAAAGCAGGAGAATCACTTGAACCTGGGAGGCAGAGGTTGCAGTGAGCTGAAATCGTGCTACTACACTTCAGCATGGTGACAGAGCGAGACTCCGTCTCAAAAAAAAAAAAAAAAAAAAAAAAAAAAGAGTATCATATTCTTTCAGTGAGGAAATTATTATCTATGAAGTTGATAGATAACAAACCAGGGATGGAGGTTAATTTATAAATTAACTTTACAGATAAATAAATCAGGGATGAAGGTTAAGTGACATCCTTTTCAAATAGTTGGTAAGGGGTAGAATAAAGACTCAAACCCTGCTTTACTGATTTTTAACCTCCTGGTCTTTGTACTACATCATGTATCATTGCTTACTTTCCTAATTATCCAACTTGAGGGAAATGATCAGAAGAAAGGCAATGAAAATTAGAAAAAGCAAATAAAGAGGAGCAGACAATAGCATGCATACTCTAGGCTATAAAGGATGATTGCAGGGTCTTTGGGGATTTTCAGGCATTCACTAATTTTGCTACCACTTCCACCACTGTAATAAGCTATTATTACATAGAAATTAAGAACCTGAAAGATTTCTACGGATAGAGTAAGTAGGAGTGCTACGGGTTGAACGTTTGTGTCCTTCTGGAATTCATGTTGAAACTTAATCTCCAATGCAATAGAGGTAAGCAGGTGACTGGGTCATGCAGGCTCTTCCCTCCTGAATGTGGGCTTAAGGCCTTTCTCTAAAAGAGGCTTCACACAGCATTTGGCCGTTTTGCTCTTCCGCCTTCTGCCACGTGAGGATACAGCATGTGCCCCTTCCAGAAGAGGCAGCCACAAGACACCACCTTGAAGGCAGACAGACAGGGTCCCCACCAGACACTAAGCCTACCAGTACCTGGATCTGGAACCAGTACCCGCTCCTAGCCTCCAGAACTGAGAGAAATAAATTTCTATGGCTTAGAAATCGCCCAGTCTATGGTATTTTTTTTTATAGCAGCACAAATAGACTAAGACAAGAAGCTTTCACACAGGTAGGATAAAAACAAGCTCTTTTAAAGTGGTGTAATTTTCACACGACAGGAAGGAGTCTGGGTGGTAAGGGCAAGTTCACAATCTCATCAACTCCATACAGAAATGCACCAGCCTCTAAAATCTGAAGAGCCATTGTCATCTGGCCAGGTCAAATATCTTTTCATGACAAATGAGTCTGTGGCTATATTAATATATAAATAGCACAATTGACAAATTAAATAAAAACGAATAAATTAATACATAACTCAAAAAGAAAAGATGCAAAAATTGACAGTAAACACCCTCTATGGAGTCTGACATGATTGAAGCTTCTTCCTAATGCTGCTTTCCCCCACTGGTTCTCACATTCTAAATTAACTCTATTATTCTTCTAGCAGAGAATACTGACAAAATAGGAATAAATAGGGAATGAAACACAACTCAATTTGTGAGGCTACAGAAATAGAAGCCCATTCTGCTTATTAAATATTTGATTTTTAAGATTTAGAAATTCTTTATCTGTTTCAGTTTTCTTTCGAATGCCAATGTAATTTTACATCCTTCCTACCTACTTTTCATAATTTCAAATGCTTTATTCAGCAGGCAGCCTGTTCTTCTAATACCTCAATTCTAATACTTTCTAAAGTCTCTTGGAGAAGAAATTTATCAGGCCTAATTCTCTCTCAATTTGTGCTGCTTTGTTTACTTTTGCTACTTCCATTCCACAAATCAAAATAAATTTGCCCTTCACTGTGAATGGATTGTTTAAGAGACCTAAACGCTGTAGTATATATCTGCCTATCATGTACAAAACACATGGAATTTAAAACTGTGCACTTTAAAAATAAAGTATGTGTTAATTATAATAAGCACATAGAGCAATTCTGGCACCGAGATGATCATGTTCTGAAAGGAAGCCTAATCGTTTCATCTTTAAGAATTTTCTTTTATTAGAATACATTTCAAGTGAAGTATTTTTAAGAAAAAATATATAGTTTTAGATTTAAGACAATATAAAAATTTCTCCCTAGTGGCTATCACAACTAAAATTTACTATTGTTCTTTAAATAACTTAGATACTATTTTAAGTTGGAAGTGATCCTGGAAGTGCCCACATATCAAAACAAAAATAAAATTTCTAGGCAACAGAGCTCAGAATGTGTTTACCGTCACTTTCAACCAGTATATGTTATCAAGAAGGCTAAAATTAGTTTGCTAAAATCGCAAAAACGAAGTTTGCTTAAGAAGAGGTGACAAAGTTGACAGTACATTGTAAAAAAGTACTATGACTGTCAATAGCAAATTCGCTATTAACTTTTCTATAAAAATAAAGGCAAAGTCGGGTGCAGTGGTGCATGCCTGTAGTCTCAGCTACGTGGATAGCAGGCAGGGTAAGGCAAGAGGATTGCTTGAGCACCAGGAGTTTGAGGCCTGCCTGGGCAATACAGCAAGACCCTGGCTCTTAAAAAACAACAAAAAACAAACCCCAAAAGAACAACCTCCAAACAAAAAAACTTTTGCTAACTTCATCCCTAAGTGAATGATTATAGATGGGAAACGCGTGTTTTAAAAAAGCATATTCAGTATTAGAATATAACTATATTTGAAAAAAAAAAAAACCACAACCATTGTTTCTATACCACAAATACAGACTGATAAAATTTTCTAAGCAAGTAGAGCTACGCAGGGAAAAAAAATCTATCTTCTGCATATGAATAATTCCAATGTTGAGGGATCACAGGAATGCTTTCCTAGAATAAATGTGTGAATCTCTGAGAAAAGATCAAGAAATATTGTTTCAAATGTCATCCTGCTAATGTCTGGGCTCGATCTAGTTTATTTATTTTGTGAATGCGGCCAAAAATAGTAACACTTTAATTAATGTAAGTGAAATTAAAAAAGCTTTCATGTAACCTGAAGAAAAATTACTAAAAACCATGTATATGTGTGTGTATGTATATATCCATCTATCTATCTATCTAACTATATATATACACACACACACACATACATATAAATGGTTTTATAAATATAAGGCACATACCGGGAATTCCTTAGTAGTAGTACAGATTTTTCCTGCCCATGACTCTGTTCATCCTTTTACTGCTTGTATTTGAGTAGATACACTTAGAAGCTTAAAAATGAATTGGTTAGCAAAGTTCAACAGTGCTATCCCAGATATTAAGGGCACTGACTTACCTTCACAGTTTCCAAGTCTCCAGCTTTAGATGCCTCTAAGAGTCGATAGTCAACATCAGAAGTACGTATAGGTGTACTCTCTGCATAAAAGGAAGGAAAGAACTCATATATATATATATGAGATATATATATATATATATATCTCCAAACTCAAATATTCCAACTGCATTCATTTTGGAAACAAAAATGGTTCTTGAGGGATCGCAAAGTAGTTCAGGAGGGAAAATCATTTAGTTTGGTTTTACTAAATGTTGTAGCACACCTTTGCCATAAATTTGTTATATAAACCTAGGGAAGCCACACAACTTTCAGTACTTAATGTTTAATTTTTCTATGTATGTATGTATGTATGTATTTATTTTTTGAGACAGTTGCTCTGTCACAAAGGCTGCAGTGCAGTGGCGTAATCACAGTTCACTGTAGCCTCAACCTTCCAGGCTCAACCAATCCTCCCCACCTCAGCCCCCGAATAGCTGAGACCACAGGTGTACACCACCATGCCCAGCTAATTTTTGTATTTTTTGTAGAGATGAGGTTTCACCGTGTTGCCCAGGCTGGTCACAAACTCCTGGGCTCAAGTGATCCTCCTGCCTCAGCCTCCCAAAGTGCTGGGATTACAGATGTGAGTCACTGCACCCAGCCTTGATTTTTCTTGTAGTCTCAATGTACTACTCTTAAAGTCAGAATCATCTTGGAGTCAGAATCATCAAGTATAATCAGTGAGCAGAAAAGGGCTACTAAATACAGACATTTGTTTAATTCACATTTATTGAATGGCTTTAGGAAAATGCAACTTTCAATGTTTGTATAATTGGAGGTATGATAGCAATGCTAAATAGAATATAATTAAATTGAGCTGTTAGGTGTAGAGGCTAACAAATGAGTTATTATTTTGATTAATCCAATATAAATAAACTGAAAATTCATTTCACATTGACCCAAATAAAGTAAGTTTTTAAAGAAAACAATTTATACTATGTCAACCAAAAGTATGTTTATGTACATGAAGTGTGGCTTTTAGAATGAGCACACAGACGTAACACAAAAGGACGGCACTCCAGGAGGCCTACATTTTAGACTGGGCTCTATCATCTACAACTTTGGACAAATCATGTAACAGCTCCGTTTTTGCCCTTAGCAAGTGAGTGCTGAAAACCTTTCAGATCGAAGACCGCATTACCTTATGGTCAGAGACATCTATTTGGAGCCCACTGTCCAAGTGGGAAGATCAAGTGATGCTATGAAGAGGTTTTACATTTCAGGAGAGAGTGGCTTTCACAGAATAAGTTATGACGATTCTTCAGTAAAAGATAAACTACTTATTTGATCATAATAGCAGGTAGAATGCTGAGGTTAAGGGAGGGAAAAAGACAGTGTTTCACATAACAAAGTAAATCTTTGAATTATTTTAAAGAGTGATATTACATTTTAGTTTGCGGAACTGTCGAGGAAAGGAACCAAATCTCGCTCATCTTTATACTCCTTTTCACACAGAACATTCTGAAAGCATTTGCTGGACTGATTTCCACTATGTACTGGGCTCAATGTGTCTGTCAAATCAGCTCTTTTTTTGGCTGCTCTTATTCTGTTCTTTCATGTCTCATTAGTCTCCATTATAAGTGTGCACATACACTACTGCATTTATAGGTAAGATGCTGTGTGTATATTATGTCTCTGTGACAGTGATTCTGGAATTGACAAAATTCACTGATATGTCCTTTCAATATCTACAGGTAATATTTTTAGTTTATCATTTCAACAAAATAAAGAGACAATTATTTTATGTATATAGAGTTATGACAGTATTTTTAGATGATAGCACTTTAAGGATACATTTAATACGGCTAAATTTTTGAAATCTAAGAACTATTTGAAATTGGAACACATATCTTGATGCAGACTGTCTACTAAAGAGTATAATTTTCCAATCAACCAAAAAGTCTTAAGCAAATATAAGAATGCTTCTGGAACTACGAGAAAAGAATTATTAGTCCTGGTTAAAGAAGAGAAAGTAAAGATGTTTAAAACATTGGTTAATTACTATATAGACTTTAAAGACCTGCACCTATTATAAACCTTGAATAGGCCTAGGACAGACTTATTTTTAGAACTAATGTGAAAAATGTTATTAGATGAAATGACTTATATACAGCCCAGGAACTTTGTACAAAGTGATGCACAATTTAAAAAGATATAAAAAATGAAATTAAAAAAGGAACGTGAGTGAAAGAGTAGCTGGTATGCAAAGTACTATATTAGTAAAATTCTTTATAAGTATGCTGGGTTTGTTTATATGACATTTATTTATGTATTTGTTTAGTTCTTTCTTTTTTTAGAGACGGGGTCTCAGTATATTGCCCTGGCTGGTCTTGAAATCCTGGGCTCAAGCGATCCTCTTGTCTTAGCCTCCTAAGTAGTTGGGACCACAGGCATGCACCACCATACCCGGCTAATTTTTAAAAAGTTTTTTTGTAGAGACAGGGTTTCACCATGTTGCCCAAGCTGGTCTTGAACTCCTGAGCTCAAGCAATCCTCCCACCTTAGCCTCACAAAGTACAAGGATTATAGGAGTGAGCCACCATGCTCAGCCTGTAGAACATGAAATTATAGTCACCTAGAATCAGAGATTAAAGATGGGCTTCTTATTTTGTCTCCAATCTTATTCTGACTCATTAGAGTTTTTAAAAAGTTGGAAGCGCTAGAAGGCAGCCTATTTTTAAAAACATCTTTTATAGACTGGTAGTTTGGTCAGTGTTAGACTATTGGACTGGCAACAGGTCTTAGTGGCTTATTTCAATGTGCCACTGTAAATGGTGTTTCAGTGTTTAATTTAGCTATCATAAGCCTAATCTTCACTTGTGTAGATGAAAGTAATGCTTTTCCCACACTGGGTTATACAATCACAAGAATTCAGGTCAAGATCGAACTTAAATGACCAAAATAACTGTCTGTGGTGCTAGAAATAGTGTTATCTGTGCTATTATGGTAGCCATTAGCCATGTGTGACTACTGAATACCTGAAATGTGGCTAGTGTAACTAATGGAAGGATTTTCCATTTTATTTAATTTTAATTAGTTTAAATGTAGCCAGATGTAGCTAGTGGCTACCATATTGGAAAGAGCAAGTCTAGAGAAAGAAATCAAATCTTTTGAAATAATGTTTTAAAGTGCTAATTCATAAAAAGCTGCTTGTTTTCTTTACATTGATGTTAGTTTTGACATAAATATTGCCAGCAGTTTATAATGAAAAGTTTATTAATGTAAACTCTGGCAATTACAGACTTGGGAGTTGAAAGTGCAGGTTTCTAAAGTAGATCTCACATCTGGTATTAACAAGTGTATTTAAGTGAATCTCATAAAATATTATCCAGAATATACATCTTATTTGACTGATATTAATACATTCTTTCAGAAGTCATTATAGATATAACCTGATATTGGATTACTAAATGATAACTAAAAAGTTTAGCTAAAACATGGTCCATAGTCTACGGAGACATACAAATTCCTGGTAAAAATATTAGTTTAAAAACTTATATCCTATTTCAAATAAGAAACAATTCCCATTACAAAAAAAAAATAAATAACCTTTTGGATGGCAAAATTTTCCTATATGTATTTTTTGTTTGTATTAGCTTTCCAGCTCAATAAAGAATTAAACTAAAAAGTTCTGCATGTTCCAAATTAAGCATTTAATTACTTATATAATGTCTTATTTCAAAAATCAATTTTAAAGCAGATTTATCAAAATAATCGAAGAAAAATATTTCATTTGTATTCAGTATTTAGTTTTATCTTTTGCGAGAACTCATATATTCTAACTGCATTCAGTTAGAAGACATTTTAAAAGCATTACATGGATCTAATATGCTTGATTTATTCAATACTTTCTTCTCCATTTTGTTAATTATCTCTAAAAACTATGCACATAATTTGATGCAAAGCTATGTGTTTGCCTGATTTATGGTTAAAACGTACAAAAACTAAAATTCGGTACTAAGTGATTCTCAGTAAAATAAGAAAATTTAGAAATTTTAACAAAATAAACAACTTTTAGAAATTATTAGAATTTACTGAGAGGGAAGAAATATTTCCTAGGCAAGGAGTAATATCTTCTTTAAGCAAATGTTCTATCACTCTATAGAAACAGGAAGTCAAAGTCTTTTTTTTTTTCTTTTTTGAGTTCGAACTTGAAATTTATAACAGGAAATTTCATTTGTTTAGCTGGATCTTATTTATAATAGGAAATTTCATTTGTTCAGCTGGATCTTATTTTGATAGTGAAGACACGCTAGATAGATTTCCTTCTAAATCTTCCCGCCTAAAGATCACCATTAAAGCTGAAGTAGAATGATCCCTATCTACGAACGACCTAGCATGAGGAAAATAAATCCTCATCAATAGTTTTCACAATGTTGTACAATTAGTTTTATTATGCTATTTAGCTCTGATCTACCTATAATAACAAACACATATCATGATCTCTACAAGCTCTGGAAGGGTCCCTGTTGCATCATATAGCAGTGATTCTCGACTGGGCTGTATTTCTTTCTTTTTTTTGAGACGGAGTCTCGCTCTGTCGCTCAGGCTGGAGTGCAGTGGCGCGATCTCAGCTCACTGCAAGTTCCGCCTCCCAGGTTCACGTAATTCTCCTGCCTTAGCCTCCCGAGTAGATGGGACTACAAGAGCCCGCCAGCATGCCCAGCGAACTGACTGGCCTGTATTTCTTGGGGTCCTTGTAGAAATGTGTGGGGTCATGTTTTGTCTTCTAATACAGTCATGTCCAATCTATTTACATAAGAATTATAAATTATTTTATTGTAACTTATTGTAATTTTCCCTTTATATTATAGTTAGGGGCTTTTTTTTTTTTTTTTTTTTTTTTTTTTTTTTTTTGAGATGGAGTCTCGCTCTGTTGCCCAGGCTGGCTGGAGCGCAGTGGCGCGATCTTGGCTCACTGCAACCTCCGCCTCCCGGGTTCCAACGATTCTTCTGCCTCAAGCTCCCAAGTAGCTGGGATTACAGGCACGCGCCACCACACCTGGCTAATTTTTTTTACTTTTAGTAGAGATGGGGGTTTCACCATGTTGGCCAAGCTGGTCTCGAACTCTGACCTCGTGATCCACCTGCCTCATCCTCCCAAAGTGCTGGGATAACAGACGTGAGCCACTGCGCCCAGCCTAGTTAGGGCATTTATATAGATTTCTGGAAAGGTCCCTATACAGTTAGGTCATACTATCTATGAATTTCACTTGTGAATATTAAAGAAGATGTCATAAGACATTCTTTATAAAAAGCGGGCACTACACCTGATAGAGTTAAGAACTACCAGACTGTAGGTAGAAAAAAGTAACCAGAACTTCTGATTCCTAGTCTACAGCCTTCTACATTTTACTCTTCTGGTTTGTCATTTCATTCCACAGCAGATATAATTCACAGACAAAATTAAACGGTTCGGAAAGAGGTTAATTACACTAAATTTCTTTTGATTATAGTTCATCATTTTGTCAGTAGGTAGACTGTGTTACTTCCTCTAGTTTTGGGACTTAGGAAGCCAATATCTATTTTCTTACCAGTTTATGTTTAAAATATCTAACACCATACCAGGCAGACACTGAAACATTTGGCAAGATTTTATATATATGTATTTTTATTATTTATGTATTTATTTATTTATTTTTTGAGACAGAGTCTTGCTCTGTCACCCTGGTTGGAGTGCAGTGGCATGATCTCGGCTCACTGCAACCTCCGTCTCCCGGGTTCAAGCGATTCTCCTACCTCAGCCTCCCAAGTAGCTGGGGCTACAGGCATGTGCCACCAGGCCCAGCTAATTTTTCTATTTTTAGTAGAGACAGGGTTTCACCATGTTGGCCAGGACGGTCTTGATCTCCTGACCTCGTGATCTGCCCGCCTCGGCCTCTCAAAGTGCTGGGATTACAGGCGTGAGCCACCACGCCAGGCCTATAAATATATTAAGGCCAGAAAGAGAAAAGATAATTTTATAATAGTGTCATGAAGAATTTTAAAAGTATGTCAGAACATTACACAGGTAAGAACAATTAATTAAATGTCATTACCATATGAATCATTTATAATTTTCTCTATTTGATAGATTTTATAGCTACCATAATTCCACACTGTTTATATGAGTTTTAAGTCATCTTTGATCAGAACACTCATGAGTCAGGTTTTCAATTTAAACCTAAAAAAATTAAAAGCTGTATTTGCTTCCTTCCCATGACACCTAACTTACCCTACCTAAAAAGGGAGATGGGGAAGGCCACAGGCTAAATTGCAAGAAAAGGCATGAGAAAATCTACAGGCAAAGTAAACACTGCAAAGTTTGTCTGTGTATTTCAGCAGGAATGGAAGAGAAAACATAAAAAGCCCTGTTGGTCTATTTTAACTCACCACTCAGAATCTGCTGCACTGCTTCATTGCCCATCTGTGCTGCTGTGAAGCCTTGTAAGGAGATGATGGAGGGGTCAGAGCCGTAACTCAGCAGAAGGCGGCAGGTCTGCAGGTGGCCTGCTAGGGCGGCTCTATGCAAAGCAGTCTGACCAAGGGTGTCCAGTGCATTCATCTGAAAAACCATTCGGTGGGCACATGGAATTGAGCATCTAGTTTAGTTTCCTTTTACATCTTAGAAAATACATTCGTATGAAAACAATCAACTTTCAAAGCTTTTAAAAAGTCTCATAGATATTATTAACTTTTGCTCACTGATTCTGAAGAACTATCTTTTTAGTTACCCTTCCCTGATCACCTTACTGAAAATTACAACATGCCGTCCCTTCCCTGAATGACCATTTTCCTGACTATTTCTCATTTCCTGCTACTCCCTTCAACTACTAGACTGTAAGGTCTATGGAGGGAGCAACTCTGGTCTGGTATTTACTGCTTGCCACAATGAAGACGCTCACCAAATTCTTCTGAATGAATGGATTTTACCAAACTTTTCCCCAGAATATAAAGACAACAGAATATGTAAGCGAAGACTCTCAAAGTAGTTGATTATATTTCTTTTCTAATTTAGATAATAAAGCTAATTATACTATCTTAACTGAATTACAAGCACATTTAATCAAAAAAATGATTTGAGGATTCAAACACTCCTTTTTAAAGCTTTGAAGAGTTACACACAGGAAGAAGAATCATTTAGCTAATTGTGAGACTGCTTAAGACAATGTGAAACACTGGGATCATGTTCTTAACCTGGTCAAACCTGACTCATCTTATCTTCCAGCAGACCCTAATCAGCACCCTCTACTCCAGTCAGACCAAAGTCCATGTTCATGTGCTTGCTGCTCTTTTCGGAGAAACCCTTCTTTCTGCCTTTCTGGCTTCTGAGATCCAGTGTAAGTCTCCTCATCTCCAAGAAGTCTTCCTTGATTTCTTGAAGACTTTGATTACTCCTTTTCTGAACATCTATGTCAATTTAGCACTTAACTGTCTTATAAAATTTAATACTGGGGTAGTTTTTGTTTGAGTTAAACTAAGGTTATTGAGAATATAAGTGCATGTTACAGACAGACTTTCCGGGTCCTCTAGAAAGGTCCTGCTAAAGGTACACAGTAAATTCTCAATTATATGCTGATTGATTATTTAAAGCATTTGTGTACACCCATCAAATACAAGATTAAGAAAAGAAAGGGTATTAGACAACTGGTCCCCCTGTCGCATCTTTCATCACTACCAGTAAGGCTGTTGTACTTACTCAGGAAAGGGTTCATATAAATTGTTGATGGTCTTTCACAAAACTCCCATGAAATACTAATATATTTAACTCTCACATTTGCCAGAAGAAAAATGACTGCTGATACACAGCAACAAAAAAGCACAGCCATTAACATTTATCAGTGGAAAACACAAGCTGCCAAACTAACTGGAGTTTTGATTTCTTTGTTACTTCTTCAGCACAGAAGAAAAACCTAAAATTGTGAACATTCAAATCATCAACATTTTTCTGGAAACTGGGTAAGAAACATACTAACTTATTCTATTATAGTTATGGGAACTCCCAATCCAGCTTGTTAAAGCATGGGAACATGATTTGATGTCACCAAAAATACTTTACGTTCAGCACTAAAGTGATTATTTTCACCAGGTTACAGAAACTGTCTCAAATAAAGAGACTGCTACATTTAATGTTACACCTCAACTGTGGTAATTAAATGCTTAAGACTGGCTTGACCTATCCATTCAGGAGTCAGAATAATGGATGTCTGGCAGTTCTGGAGGCAAAACATATTCCCACTTTTTCTTGTATCTAGAGACTGCAACCTTAGTGTATGTATTTTTATTTCTATCTGAGTAGCAAAAATGACTTCCCAGAAGATGAATAACTGAGTAAAACTATATAAAATCACAATGACATTTGGCCCAAAATGTTTAGGACATGAAATTATGATTCAAAAAATGCCACAACAGTTCTGGAAACCAGCAAGCAGACCACAAGAAAATGGCTGAGGGGAACCCTTCAATATTCTACTCAGTGTCAACAGCCTAGTCTCAAACAGCTAATCCTGAGGTCACTTCTCCCAAACTTAAAGCTATCATTGTCTACATCACTCATTTGGTAATTAATCACAAACTGTTCTGTGACATCTGTACTTACACCTTTAACTGTGAACATGTTTGTCTCAACCTAAAAGCGATTTCAAGTAAGCTGAGAGTTGAAAACAGTCTGTATTCTTTAGCTAGAGTGACATTACATTTTTTTCCCCAAACCATGACACATTGAAAGTAAAAGTGAACAAATAAAAAAATTAACAGGCATTAATATATCTGTGATAGAAGAACAAATGACAGGTTCTCCAAGTATTATGAGAACCAAGTCCAAACTCTCCAACTGAGAATACGAAGATCTTGCTTTTCATTGTTTCCATTTTCTGTACCTTTTGGACTAACTAATCATGACTTCTGACTGTTTAATAAACAAACCTCTTTACTTCCCCGATTTTCAGTCCTTACTGAAAACGTATTGTTTGTATTTTGTCTATATATATTTATGTATTTAATTCCTGAACATTCCTAGCTGAAATTCTATTTTCTTCATGAAATTTCTCCAATCTTCCCCAGGCTGCCACCACCAATAGAAATAACTGTTTATTCCTCTGAATATAAATCGATCTATACTTCTCTTACTATATATACTACTTTCCAGTTCATATAGTAGTCAAATAGACTATGTTAGACAATTGTTAGATTTTAAGTTCCTTAAGAGAAGGATATTGATCAAATTCAAACTTTATATATCCTCCTAGCAGTAAGTACCATGCCTTGTATAAACAGATATTTGAAAATGGTTGGTAAGTGAATGACTCACAAGAGCAACAAATTAATAACTTCTGGTGATAAAAAATACTACTTCTGACATACTGTTCCGTATATTGAACAAACATTAGGAACTACTAAAATGTTCTCTATCTAACCAAAATGCATTCCTCCTTCGCTGGAAATTGAGGAAGAAGGGTAAATGCCAGTGTTTATAGAGTTGCTTAATATTGAAAATGAATTTGCTTTATCTGTAATCAAAATATAATTTAAATTGATCCTAATGTTTCTACAGGTGTTTTACAAGTATTCATCATTATCATCGGTGGTATGCATAGTTAAAGCACTTCCTGTGAGGAATGAAAGAGACAAATGAACACAATTTTAATTGTTAAACAGAATACTGACATAGTAATCAGTATTTTACTTGAAATGCTTTTTAATCCTTTAATGTGTTGTGAACTCACTACAGAGTATGGAACTAGATTTCGATTTGCTAGCTGAACTTGGGTGTACTATTTGTAAACATTCGTGTGGAAATTTAAAAGAAACAATCAAATTCCCTGAAAAGATTTACATATATATATATTATAATACCATAGATTATCTTTGCTTGTTTCAAGGGGTACTAATCTTGCTCACATGCCTTAAGAAATAAGAAACTGAACAAAACTGATTAGACTAGAGGGTGCCAATCCAATGAATGCCCGTACTCAACAGTGAGTCTTATTCATAATTATCCCTTTTTCATCCCCGAGACGGGACAGACCCTATCAGCTGCAGGTGGTATACTTCTAAGCCAAGGACACATAAAGTATGGGTTGTAAAAGACCACATTTAGGCCACAGAGAAATAATACAGAAACATCCAGTCTGCAGAAAGAAGAATGAAGCAGATGAACAAACACTGGCAGAGAAAAGAAACCATGCAACCTCAGAGAAAGAGAGACAGAGACAGGGAGCGACAGAGACACAGAAGTGGGGAAAGAGGGAGAAACAGGGAGAGAGAGGCATAGAGAATTGCAGCCAATGTACCTAACAGTTTCTAAATTCCTTGTTCTGGTCTTTTGTGAATCTCAGCTACAATGCTTACATATTATTTCTGGGAGATAACCATATGGGTTTCTCACAGAAGTAATAAACACATTTATATTAATACACATTTATATTAGTATAAAATAGATTTCCATTTGTGTTTAATCTAGATTGAGTTGGTTTGTTACTGAGAACTAAAATGTCTCTGGGACACTTGCCCCTTTGGACTTTATTTTGGTATGATGAAACCTCAGATATTATTTGCACTGTAAAAGATACTTAAGATCTATAGTATCTTTAAAAGTACTTTAACATCTTTGGGCTAATAATCTACTTATCAATCTACCTCTAGAAAAGCATTAATAAAACTCTTATAATGGGCTGACACATCTCCCCAAGTGAGCAAAGCCTCGTGATTGCTTCTAAATGTGAGAAATAAGCCTATTAAATGTCAATTATTATGTCACAATATCTTCTTAAACACAATCTGTCAAATTAACACACACGAACATGAACTGTCAAAAAATTCCTTCATGTTTCACATATTTAACAGATACACATAATGACAAAATAGCTCTGCTTTATATATGAAAAAATGCATTTATGAATTAAACTTCTTGAATACCATATGCAGTTGGGGCATAAGTTTTCTTAATAATGAGAGCAGACAATTCACTACTGATAGAATGCAGAATGCTAGGGCAGACTAACCATAATAAAGGAAAAATTGCTACATGGAGGATAAAATCTTCATGTCTTTCCTATTTAGACTCTATAGTACTCCCAAAAAGCAGAGGATAATAAATTACTGATTTTTTTTTAAGGTACAAAAGTTTACTCCTAGTAAATGAGGATTTTTCAGATGAATTGGTTAATGCTCAAATGTGGTTTTTTTTTTTTTTTTTTTTTTGAGACGAGTCTGCTCTGTCGCTGGCTGGAGTGGCCGATCTCAGCTCACTGCAACTCCCCCCCGGTTACGCCATTCTCCTGCTCAGCCTCCCGAGTAGCTGGACACAGCGCCCCGCCTCGCCGGCTAGTTTTTTGTATTTTTAGTAGAGACGGGTTTCACCGTGTTCGCCAGGATGGTCTCGATCTCCTGACCTAGTGATCCGCCCGTCTCGGCTTCCCAAAGTGCTGGGATTACAGGCTTGAGCCACCGCGCCCGGCCGCTCAAATGTTTTTATAACTCTCCTTTCCTTACTAGCAATTTGTTTTCATTATAATGTTTTGCTGAATATTGCCTCCTTCCCCCTCTAGAGCCACAGCCATCCTC